CGCTCAATAAGGCATAAGCTTCAGTGTCCTTAACAACCCTAAAAACATGAATTTGTTGTTTTGAATGTAGTAATGTTTTTTTCCCCAAGTTCTTATAAATAAGTATAGTTTATTTACATACAGCTACAATAAATACAGTTGCACAAATTATTACATAGCTAACCTTAATGTGTAAATTACCCAGGATTAACACCCCAAAAAGAAAAAAGTGAGTATATTTCCATCAGATTAGTTGTAAATATATTATTTAAACCTATATTAAAACTATTTCTTTTAAATTAAGTTTAAAACATGTGTAGTATTTTCTTTAATATACATTATAATCTTAAATTTAATCAACTGTGTGTAGTTATCTTTTGTAGTATCTTTTAATCATTGTAGATCAATTTGTAGATCAACTTTGTAGATCAACTTTGTAGATCAACTTTGTAGATCAACTTTGTAGATCAACTTTGTAGATCAACTTTGTAGATCAACTTTGTAGATCAACTTTGTAGATCAATTTGTAGATCAACTTTGTAGATCAACTTTGTAGATCAACTTTGTAGTATTCTAACACTTTGTAGATCAACTTTGTAGATCAACTTTGTAGTATTGTAGATCAACTTTGTAGATCAACTTTGTAGATCAACTTTGTAGATCAACTTTGTAGATTAGATCAACTTGTAGATCAACTTTGTAGATCAACTTTGTAATCAACTTGTAGATCAACTTTGTAGATCAACTTGTAGATCAACTTTGTAGATCAACTTTGTAGATCAACTTGTAGATCAACTTTGTAGATCAACTTGTAGATCAACTTTGTAGATCAACTTTGTAGATCAACTTTGTAGATCAACTTTGTATATCAACTTGTAGATCAACTTTGTAGATCAACTTTGTAGATCAACTTGTAGATCAACTTTGTAGATCAACTTTGTAGATCAACTTGTAGATCAACTTTGTAGATCAACTTTGTAGATCAACTTGTAGATCAACTTTGTAGATCAACTTGTAGATCAACTTTGTAGATCAACTTTGTAGATCAACTTTGTAGATCAACTTTGTATATCAACTTTGTAGATCAACTTTGTAGATCAACTTTGTAGATCAACTTGTAGATCAACTTTGTAGATCAACTTTGTAGATCAACTTGTAGATCAACTTTGTAGATCAACTTTGTAGATCAACTTGTAGATCAACTTTGTAGATCAACTTGTAGATCAACTTTGTAGATCAACTTTGTAGATCAACTTGTAGATCAACTTTGTAGATCAACTTGTAGATCAACTTTGTAGATCAACTTTGTAGATCAACTTTGTAGATCAACTTTGTATATCAACTTTGTAGATCAACTTGTAGATCAACTTTGTAGATCAACTTGTAGATCAACTTTGTAGATCAACTTTGTAGATCAACTTGTAGATCAACTTTGTAGATCAACTTGTAGATCAACTTTGTAGATCAACTTGTAGATCAACTTTGTAGATCAACTTTGTAGATCAACTTTGTAGATCAACTTTGTAGATCAACTTTGTAGATCAACTTGTAGATCAACTTCGTAGATCAACTTTATAGATCAACTTGTAGATCAACTTTGTAGATCAACTTGTAGATCAACTTTGTAGATCAACTTTGTAGATCAACTTTGTAGATCAACTTGTAGATCAACTTTGTAGATCAACTTTGTAGATCAACTTTGTAGATCAACTTTGTATATCAACTTTGTAGATCAACTTGTAGATCAACTTTGTAGATCAACTTGTAGATCAACTTTGTAGATCAACTTTGTAGATCAACTTTGTAGATCAACTTGTAGATCAACTTTGTAGATCAACTTTGTAGATCAACTTGTAGATCAACTTTGTAGATCAACTTGTAGATCAACTTTGTAGATCAACTTTGTAGATCAACTTTGTAGATCAACTTTGTAGATCAACTTGTAGATCAACTTTGTAGATCAACTTTGTAGATCAACTTTGTATATCAACTTTGTAGATCAACTTGTAGATCAACTTACTTATCCAGATTCTAGTCATCATTCTTACCTGAGGAGAGTCTCTAGTTAGACCAAAAATATTCACGTTTTTTTCTGTACTGTTGAGTGACAGATAAGATAAAAGACTTGTTCGGATTTTTAACCCCAGAGGGTTAGCCAGCCAGGATAACCCAAGTAAGTCGGTGTGTCATCGAGGACTGTCTTCTTTCCATTGGGGTCCTTAGTCTTGCTCCCCCAAGACGTGAACCACAACAGTCGACTAACACCCAGGTACCTACTTACTGTTAGGTGAACAGGGATAACAGTTGTAAGGAAACATGCCCAATGTTTCCACTCTGCTAGGGATTAATCCGTGGATACTCAATGTGTGAGGTGTAAGACTTTGTAAATCTTCCAAGTCGGACCGAAATGTCATCATAAGCTCTAGATAAGATAAGATAAGATAAGATTTCGTTCGGATTTTTAACCCCGGAGGGTTAGCCACCCAGGATAACCCAAGAAAGTCAGTGCATCATCGAGGACTGTCTAACTTATTTCCATTGGGGTCCTTAATCTTGTCCCCCAGGATGCGACCCACACCAGTCGACTAACAGGTACCTATTTGCTGCTAGGTGAACAGGACAATAGGTGTAAGGAAACGTGTCGAAATGTTTCCACCCGCCGGGAATCGAACCCGGGCCCTCCGTGTGTGAAGCGGGAGCTTTAGCCACCAGGCCACCGGGCCACATGTGCGGGTTATTTGTCTTTTGTCATCATTACAACCAGAATTTCAAATACAATATGTGCTTATACATACATTGATTATTGCTACAATAAAATTTAGGTTGCAGTATTGCTACAGTAAAACTTAGATTTTTTTGTACAGATTAAAATATCAATTTATTTTTTTATTTATAATTTGAGCACACTTACAGAGGTACAAAAAAAAAAAAAAAAATACAGATAAGAGCAGCATGCCAAAGCCACTTATACTATGCATAGCATTACGGGCTGGCTTAAAATTAACTTAAGATTAACTAAGCAATGATGAAATCAGTGAAAAACATTAATGTAAACTGATTACTATAAAGCACAAGTGAGTATTACAAAGACAGGTCATATGGTTGCATGCATTGTTGTAAATTCAGTAGAATGGAGTATTCTGTTAGGTAGTGAATTTAAAAAATAATAAAGTTAGATTGGGTTTTAGGTTTAACATTTATGTGATATAATTGTGAGAAACATTTAAGATATACAATTTATAAGGTTCAGTTATTCAGTATTTATTTGGTTTTGGGTGAGTAAGTGATCTTTGAGAAGAGACTTGAATTTATAAACAGGTAGTGTTTCTTTTATATTAACAGGTAATGAATTCCAGATTTTAGGGCCTTTTATGTGCATTGAGTTTTTTGCATAGCGTGAGATGGACACGAGGAATATCAAAGAGTGATCTGTGCCTTGTGTTATGGTCATGTGTTCTGTTGAGGTTGGCAAGGAGATGTTTGAGGGGAGGGTTAATATCAGAGTTGAGTGTTCTATGTATGTAATAGGTGCAGTAATAAGTATGGATGTTTTGTATGGTGAGTAGGTTGAGTGTATTGAATATTGGTGGAGTGTGCTGCCTGTAGTGAGAATTTGTTATCATTCTAACTGCAGCCTTTTGTTGGGTAATTAGTGGTCTGAGATGGTTACTTGTTGTTGAGCCCCATGCACAAATTCCATAGGTGAGATAGGGGTAAATAAGAGAGTGATATAGGGCCAGGAGGGCTGACTGTGGAGCATAGTACCGTATCTTCGATAGTATGCCTACAGTCTTGGAAATTTTCTTAGAAATTTGTTGTATATGTGTATGAAATTTGAGTCTATTATCAAGGTGGATTCCTAAGAATTTTCCCTCTGTTAGCTTTGTGATAGGTGATCCGTTTATCATTATGTTAAGAGGGACATCTGTAGCTCTGTTACCAAACTGAATGAAGTAGGTTTTGTCAATGTTTAGTGTAAGTTTGTTAGTACTCATCCAGGTAGATATTTTCTGTAATTCGGTATTTACAGTATTGGCTAGCGTGACTGGGCTCGGGTGGGAGAAGACGTATGTTGTGTCATCAGCAAATAGTGTGGGTTTGAGTAATTGAGAAGCATTTGGTAGGTCATTTATGTATAGGAGAAAGAGAAGAGGGCCAAGGACACTTCCCTGTGGGACACCAACTGTAATTGGTTGTGCAGAAGAGTTTGCCCCATTTGTGTACACATATTGGCTTCTGTTGCTGAGGTATGACTTGAGGTAGTTGAGGGAGTGCCCTCTTATACCATAGTGTGATAATTTTACGTGGAGCAAGTCATGGTCAACTGTATCAAAAGCTTTACGTAAGTCAATGAAGATCCCCAGTGGGACTTCTTTTTTCTCTATTGCAGTGTATATATGTTCTAGCATGTGTATAATAGCATCATTAGTATTTTTATTAGGCCTGAATCCAAATTGGCAGGGGTTGAGTATGTTTTGGGAGATAAGGTAGGAGTAGATTCGTTTATGAATTAATTTTTCGAAGATTTTTGAGAGAGGGTGTAAGTTGGATATTGGCCTATAGTTATTCAACTCTGTTTGGTCTCCTCCTTTGTGGATCGGGGTGACCCTTGCTATTTTGAGTACTGTAGGGAAGGTGGAGGATTCAATGGATTTGTTAAAGAGTGTTGCAATGATTGGTGATACATGAATAAGTAATGTATTCTGTAATGGTTGCATTTTCGCCAGTACATTATTATTTTCATTTTCTTAAACTTTGTGGGTCATTCTACCCAGGAAAGCTTTTCTACTGTAAATATTATTTACTAAATCTTAACCCAAATTATCATCACAGGTTATGAATATGTCCAAGAAACTTTGGGTTGGGTGTATGAGTGTTTTAATTGCTGATAAAAGACTGGAGGCCAAACCTCTATCTGACTGAACTGTTTATAATCATTCTGATAAACTGATAAGATGATGTATGTAGTTACATACTATCTTTGAACAGGTGAGTCTTGTGTAGTTATATACCATGGCTAGGTGAGGACACACCAATGCACATTGTGTTCCAGGAGCTGTAGCTCAACTATGTTGGAAACTATGCTATTATTTGTGGCCTAAAATTACTAATGAGGTCTTCAGTTTGGCCTCACAAAAAATAATTATTCATGGCTTGCTGTGATGTAACAAACTGGACAGTGATTTGACCTGTAATTGCAAAAGTGAGAACTATGACTTAAAATTGTTGTATAAATTGGATCTGAATGGTGAACAATAAATTAAAATACATAACAAAATTTTGTCTTTACTATTGTGATATAAAAATTTATTGCTTGTTTAACCATTTGATGTAAATAGCATTATTATTACACTTATGGAAAAGTGGTAAACCCATAAGGGTTATGTTGTGCCAGAGGAATGGGAGGCAAGCAGCAGCAATCCGGAGAAAGATAAGATAGCTCTAATTCCTTGCATCATGAGCCCCTCATCAGCATCTGTTTGCCTACCTTAAATTGATATACATGTATATGTAATAGTAACATGTATTAAGTGACGAAGTAGTATTTAGTTGAAGGTATCATCATTATGGTATTAACATACCGTAGGTACAGTACATTGACTTCATTGAATTTTCTTGGGTTAAATATTCTGTACTTTTTCTGTGCCCATAACATCTATATGGGCAAAGCTGTAATAAGGACTTGAAGTCCAGTAATATACAGTATTAAATGTCACCTAATTTTGTAACATCTTAGTACTTTTGTATATAATTTTTTTCACTGTAGTGATATGTTTCCTCCCATACTCCATGGCCACTATGGTCATACTAGTATTTACAGCCTCTCCTCACTTGGCAACATACTCGTTTACTGACAACTCAGACTTACTATGGGCTCTCTGACCATTATGCATACCTAAATAATGTATATTAAGCTGATTTCCTCTATTCTGTTTATTACAATATACAGTATACTACTGTATAAACATTAAAAAAATACTAAAAATATTATAAATGGTGCAAAGGTACATTAAAACAATATCAAAGATGGTTGACGCAAACCCACTACCATTATAGTATGCTCTTTGCTTAGTGACGAATTCGTTTGCCAGCGTGGTCTTAGGAACGGATCTCCATTGTTAAGTGAGGAGAGGCTGTATTGTATTTTTTAAATTTACATAGGATATGTATAGAAGAGGAGGTGTATGACAGTTTATGTATATTGAGAGTTTACTTTAATCTCTGTTGTAGGGATTAAAATATTTTTGATTGGTGATGAGCAAGTGACGTGCAGCCTTAGTAATCCTTGTATACTAAATAGACTTTAATCATCATTAACCAACTATTGAACAAACTTGTATATATGAGAGGGTGTTATTCTCTTATTTTCAGGTACATATATGTATATACAATATACGCATCCATATTTTTGGGTACTGTACATACATTTATATTTTCAGGTACTGTACATAAATCTCCAGAGATTTATTCATGAAGATAAAAAATCATGTCTGCTGCAAAAATTGTGGTGGTGGGCTCATGTATGACGGATCTTATCAGGTAATACTTCCAATTACTTCCTTCAAATTTTTACCCACTTTCGCTTCATGAAGGTGCCTTAATGGTGGTGGACTCTTGATCCAAGAAATGGAAGCTACCTTTTCCTTTTTCCTTCCTTGGATCAAACTCTATTATTTGCCAATCCCTCTTATCACATACACCATATACTCTTGCCACTGACCCCTTTGCATATCACCGTTTCATGTCCATAACTTTGTCTACTTATTCCACTCACAAACTGTCCTGCATGTTTTGCTCTGTCCATATTTTGCCATCATCTCTCCCCCTGTACCTCTCACCTTTTTCTCTTATCTAATATACTATAATTAAATGTAATTTTCACTTGTGTATACAGTGCAGTAATAAATTAATGTAAGGTTTGCTTAAAAGTGTGATACAGTAGAGATTTTTTACTAGATCAGCGATTAAGATGTAAAAAATGTATGTGTTCATTATGCATTATATCACCATTATTCAGAGGGTGTGTGCTGTAAATATCACTCTGCTGCAGAGAACATACAGATGACTCTTATTACAGTTACACTTCACGGTTACCTAAGCCAGGAGAAACAATCCATGGACACCGCTTCTCTGTGGGTTTTGGAGGAAAGGGTGCCAACCAGTGTATTGCTGCTACCAGACTAGGAGCCACCACAGCAATGGTTGCTATGGTATAGTCAGTTCATAGTGATTCTCTTGTGTAAAATTTTCTTAAATACAGTGGACCCCCGGTTAACCATATTTTTTCACTCCAGAAGTATGTTCAGGTGCCAGTACTGACCGAATTTGTTCCCATAAGAAATATTGTGAAGTAGATTAGTCCATTTCAGACCCCCAAACATACACGTACAAACGCACTTACATAAATACACTTACATAATTGGTCGCATTCGGAGGTAATCGTTATGCGGGGGTCCACTGTACCTGCATATTATGAATACGTGCATTAAAAGTAAATTACACAAGTAGACGAAGACTATTTTTTTTCAATAAACTGGCACTGTCCCCACCAAGGCAGGGTGACCTAAAAAGAAAAATGAAAGTTTTTCTTTTTAAATTTAGTAACTTATACAGGAGAAGGGGTTATTAGCACCTTTCTCTCAGCACTTTAGTCACTTACGGAGGAAGAATTCTTTTCCACTTCCCCATGGAGACTAATTATTTTCATTAATTGATGGCAGAAACTTCTCAAAACTTACAGTTAATAAATTTTGCAAAGGTGATATGGTAGCACCAACAAAACTAGGGAGGTAATAAAATATTTCTTTTATAAATATACATTTTCTTTTCTGCTGGTGAATGAAAAAACATAATCCAAGCTTGTAACAGGAATGCTGGAGCTTGGGTTTATTGAAATGGATTCGTAAATATGATTGATAGACAATGGTTACAAGAGGAGGTTTGACAGTGCCTCTTGATTACAGTATTGTATCAGTAAGATGAAATAATTTAAATGAAGGTTGTTTGAAAGCACATATATGTATAGGAATATGCTTAACAGTTCCCAAACAAGCGAAATTATGCAGAGTGTACAGGTTCAAATCCTGCCGTGGACTGAGAGAAAATTTTTGTATATAGGAATAGATGTACTCCCAGTCTTATGTGAATGATAAAATAGATTTGAGGATGAGAACAGGTAAACTGACAAGGGTAAAAAAAAATTGTTGAATCAAGATCTAGTTAAAATTTTTATTGTTAAAGTAAACCCTTGACTTAATGGACATCAGAAATATGGGACAAAATTCGCCAGGTCATTTAAAAAACAACAAAGTCAGTTGGTTACAGATTGGTCTGCTTTGGTTGCTATCACAGCAAAACATTTTCATTTGTCAGCCACAATTGCTACTCCTATCCCCCTATTAATTGGATAAATTGAGAGTTTACCGAAAATATGTGTTATTTTTAAGCAAGTATTGTTTAGATATTAATTCTGTACTGCATACAGTTGTGAGCTTGCACATGTTATTATTGCATTATAGTATTTTCATCTTCTTTGATGATGATATTTTCCATGGCTTTTATTTTACATGTTGGAGACGATTCATTTGGGACAAACTACTTGCAAAATTTTCGTGACAACGGCGTAATTATTTCTCATGTTGGAGTGACAAGTGAGGCAGCCACTGGTGTTGCTCCTATTGCAGTTGATGATGCAGGTACAGTACATTTGAGTCTTATTGTGTTCATTCACAAATAACCCACACTTAGGAAACGCATAACACTATTTTGGTCTGACCCGACCATTGTCAGTTTGTGACTTGACAGTGATCTAGGTCATCGTGAGTTCCCTCTCTTAAGTGTGGGATATTTGTGAACTGTTCCAGCCATGGAATTGTGGCTTTTTCTTTTGTTGTGTTTATAGCCATAATTGTCTATCCATGTTATCAGTTATTTCACTTCAAGTGCAAGTTGCCCTGCTTATGTAAGATGAGTGCGAGTTTTCCATAGATACCCTTAGATTTTTTCTCAGAATGGCTTATGGAAGGATATCTTATGCATTCCATTTGTCAGAGAATTGGACAAGGCTGTCCATGATGCAGAAAGAGAGGGCCAAAAAAATGAGGCAGAATACTCTCTTTTCCTAGTCTCGTCACCCTTCTAGGAAGGTACCTCGATGCTGGTGAGAGTTTTCTAATCGGAGAACTGGACCTGACCTCTTTCTTGGAGCAAATGCAGTTATCTCCATTCATCTATGCTCTGCACGACCCCTACAGGTTTAGCACTCTCCCATTAATGTAATAGTAATAATTCACTTTCTTGGATCAAACCTTTTTGCTTCCCTATGGGTTTAGTGCTTCTTCATGATGATGTCTAACAAACTGGCCATCTCCCAGTGAGGTAGGGTGACCTAAAAAGAGAAGAAACACTTTCACTGTTCGTTGTCACTCGGTCTTTCTTTTGTTGGGTTTATCAGGGCCACTGATAGCATAAGCCGTAGAGTTGTCACTCGGTCAGTCACTGTCTTGCCACAAGTGTGCTGAAATCACAGTTCAGATGTCCCTTCAAACTGTCATAGCCTCACCCCTCCTTTAGAGTGTACTTCTCGCCTCCAGGACTTGCATCCCTTGATGAGTGTTATCTTGCTCACATTCCAAGAGAATATCAGGCAATGAAAGCCACTTGTGTGTACTCTGATCTAACATGCTCACACAAGCCTTCTGGATGCTCAAGCCCCTAGCACTCAAAACCTTCTTTACCCCCTCCTTCCAACCCTTCCTAGGATGACTTCCCTACCCTTTCTTCCTTCCACCCAAGTTTTATACACCCTCTTCTGCTCCATCCTTTCTAAATGCCCAAAGTACCTCAACAACCCCACACAATCTTCTAGTTTCTACACTTCAAATTCTCTTCATAATATTCTTACAACACATTGCTCTCAAGACATATCTCCATTGCCTCTATCCTCCTCCTAGACCTAAACTATATTCAGTATATCATTTCACTTCTCGTACATATTATTATTTCTGTTCAGAACTTGTTGTTTGCTTTTTAGGAAATCTGCTCAAACCCCAAAATCTTTTAAGCTCAGCAAAGACAAATGTAACCACTGGTATTCACTTGTCAGTTAGCACTTGTTTTGTATTCTCCGCTTGGTTGATGGTCTGATCAGTCAGACTGTTGGTGCTAGTAGCATCTACAATGACATTGTTTTTGTCTCTGGGTAGTTCTTTTACAGGAAGGATTGCTTTGATTCAGCCCACAGGTCGAGGTGTTATAGCATGTCATTTTTTTTTTTTACAGTACAGGTATCTTCTTGAAAAAAGAACCTTCACTCAACTCATCAAAGGAATGGACAGTTAAAAAAGATTTACTCTGGCAAAATTAGAGATGCATACCACTGGAAACCTCTCATTCTTGTGAATAATTCACTTTGGCCAAAGTGAGCAGTGTGAAGGAAAAACTGGCCTAAATATATTACCAGTGTCTTCACTCTTAAGGAAATATTTCCAGATAGCAAAATCATGGTGAATTTTATAAAGGTGTTCTGAAGACTTCAAGGAGTTTGATAGTGTTCTAATGACAGTATAGTGTTTTATTTTAGAGTAGTACAGTAGTATTTTATTACAGATTAATACATATAGTATTTTTTTTTTATTAGCACACTGGCCGATTCCCACCAAGGCAGGGTGGCCCGAAAAAGAAAAACTTTCACCATCATTCACTCCATCACTGTCTTGCCAGGAGGGTGCTTTACACTACAGTTTTTAAACTGCAACATTAACACCCCTCCTTCAGAGTGCAGGCACTGTACTTCCCATCTCCAGGACTCAAGTCCGGCCTGCCAGTTTCCCTGAACCCCTTCATAAATGTTACTTTGCTCACACTCCAACAGCACGTCAAGTATTAAAAACCATTTGTCTCCATTCACTCCTATCAAACACGCTCATGCATGCCTGCTGGAAGTCCAAGCCCCTCGCACACAAAACCTCCTTTACCCCCTCTCTCCAACCTTTCCTAGGCCGACCCCTACCCTGCCTTCCTTCCACTACAGACTGATACACTCTTGAAGTCATTCTGTTTCGCTCCATTCTCTCTACATGTCCGAACCACCTCAACAACCCTTCCTCAGCCCTCTGGACAACAGTTTTGGCAATCCCGCACCTCCTCCTAACTTCCAAACTACGAATTCTCTGCATTATATTCACACCACACATTGCCCTCAGACATGACATCTCCACTGCCTCCAGCCTTCTCCTCGCTGCAACATTCATCACCCATGCTTCACACCCATATAAGAGCGTTGGTAAAACTATACTCTCATACATTCCCCTCTTTGCCTCCAAGGACGAAGTTCTTTGTCTCCACAGACTCCTAAGTGCACCACTCACCCTTTTCCCCTCATCAATTCTATGATTCACCTCATCTTTCATAGACACATCCGCTGACACGTCCACTCCCAAATTTCTGAATACATTCACCTCCTCCATACTCTCTCCCTCCAATCTGATATCCAATCTTTCATCACCTAATCTTTTTGTTATCCTCATAACCTTACTCTTTCCTGTATTCACTTTTAATTTTCTTCTTTTACATATAGTATGTATTATAAAAAAATTATCTTATTTTTACTTTTGTTTTCAGGGGAAAACTGTATCATTATAGTGGCAGGAGCAAATTTGAAGATGACTGCTGCAAACGTAGAGAAAGCAGAGCCATTAATAAAGGAATCTTGTGTGGTTGTGTGTCAAGGAGAGATCACCATGGAGGCCACACTTGCTGCTCTCACAATGGCTCGTAAATACAATGGTAAGGGCACACAAAAATTCATTAGTTATTTTACAAGATGTTTATTTGCAGATTTTTCTACTGGCATTACCTTAAAGGCAGGTCATTATTCTAAATGTTATTTCCATGCAACTAAGAAATAATTTGCAGAGGGTTGTGGCATACAATTGAGGAAATTGTCCATGTAATATTTTACCTTCTTTACAGTAATTGACTTTAAGAAAAAAATACAGGTCAATCTTATATTTCCAGTTAAGACTTTGATGAATGCTGCTCCAGCCGACTCCAGTTTGGACCCAGCTATTTTGAAGAACTCGGACATTTTTTGCGTGAATGAGAGTGAGGTAAGCTATTGATTATGTAGTGATGGACGAAATTCCTGTTACATGTCAGGTCATAGTAATGCTGGAACAAAAGAGACAATTGCTGGAACCTGCTCAGGGCTCAGTATAGCTTTCATTAGATGCATACATTTACTGCTTTACATAAGCATTTGATAAACAGGAGGGCCCTGCTTTATGGCACTTCACTTTACAGCATTTCACTAATGCAGTGGTTTTCAGTTATACCCATTCTTCATTTATTCAGACTTCCTGCAATAAATATGTTCACTAAATAACAAAAAAAGGCACAATACCGTGACTGGAACGATACACAAATAACCCGACCGAAATGTCGTCGTAAGCTTCTCTCTTTTATGTGCGGGTTATTTGTGTATAATATGTTCACTACTCACTATAAGCTAAAAAATAAAATATTTTAAGGTAAATGATGTGTGTACTTTAGTATATGCATCTTTTAACATGTAAGCATGTTATCAGGCTTTTATATGCATTTAAAAGTGACCAAAGGCTATGTTTCACTTTACAGCGATTTTCACTTTATAGCAGTAGCCCGGAACCTAATGTGCTGTATAAGTGGGGCCTGCCTGTAGTCTGAATGCATTATGATACCAATGGTTTAGATGTTCAAGTTTGTGTCATCACCTATTTTGTTCTCAGAGGAGCAAAATTATGCTTGTAATGTCTGAATTTCAATATTTAACTTAAAATACAATATCTTTTTTTTTTAGTTTCTAGTAGTTATAATGCATACTACCATTTGGACTTTTTCTAGGTAGACAATAGCCTAAGCTGACAAAATGTTGAGTCAGACATTTTTAAATAGGGATAGTAGCCTTTATTTTGCAATTTTTCCACCCCATGGTGAGCATTAAAGCCAAAGTGAGTGAAATGCTGTAAAATAAAGTTTTTTTTTGTGCATAAGTGTTTTTGAATTATTAGACCTTTTCTGTCTCATCCACATGGTTGTTAGGTGTAGAAACTGCACACCAAGTGCTTGTTCTAATTTTGACTGAATGTATATTTTGTAAATAGTTTTTTCAACATTTTTTTATCTATTTACTTGAAAGCTGTTTTATAAACATAGTTTGCCAATGTAACATACGAGTTTCTCACGATGAGGCCTCAGTATGTAGCATGCTACTGTTTACACTGCATAATTTTAGTTTAACCATGGCTTTTGCATTACCATATTTTTTAATAACCAAGATGCTTGCCTGTACTTTGGTATACAGTATATATTTTTATTACTGTATTACATTAAAAACAAAAGCATTCAGTGCTGTTCTGTAATTGTAGGACCTGATTTTACTGTATCTCTCCAGGTAAACTCCAGGTAAATAAGGTTGGCACCAGAATTTCTGCATGGGGAAGGTTGGAGGCTGTCTTGTTAGAAGGGGGATGGGGAGGGGAACTAGAATACCTGGTTTGAAGTAGCATTATTAATACTGTTTTTGTTTGGGGGTCTTTGGGGGCTCAGAATTTTTTGAGAGGGGCTGAAGCCCCCAGCACTTCCCTTGCAGTGCTGCCCCTGCTAGTTGTTAAGGTTTTAATATGGCGTATTTTAAACTGTTATGAAATTATTTGTTGTGTATGCTTATGCAAGTGATTTTTATTTTGGTTTTAGCTCATGCTTGAGTAGTTAGCTTGCATGCAAGTAACCTTTTATTACTTGGAGTACCTCCTTCCTACTTCTTTACATTTATAGCTGAACCTCGAAAACCATGAGCTTCCTAATTTGTGTACTTCAGTTTTCCAACAGTTTTACTTGTCATATGGAATATTTATTTGATCTATTTGTTATTGGTATTGTTAGCATAGCTAGAGAGGACACTGATATTCTGTTTCCCCAAACATTTTTTTTCTTTTAGGCTGAAGCTTTAACAGAAGTTAGAGTGCAAACAGTGATGGATGCCCAGCGTGCTGCTGAGGTACTATTAACACGAGGGTGTGGTAGTGTCATCGTAACACTGGGAGGGGAAGGGGCACTCTACTCTACTGGTGATGGTCATATTCATGTCCCTGCAGAAAAAGTTACTCCAGTAGATACTACTGTAAGTATTGTGTGTTTTGCTTTTAATGAAACGTGATGCAGTGTAATTACTTAAGTCATACAGTACTTGGAGAATGGGAGGTAATCAGGGTTGATCCAAGGAAAATGAGAGTAGCTCTTATTCCTTGGATCAAGACATCCCCATGAAGGGACAGTGGAGGAAGCTTCATTTTGGTTTGTTGTGTTTGCCATGAGGCTTACCATAATATATATGGGAATGTGCTTACCATAGTTTGGCCTGAGGCTAACATATTGTGCAGTATATAGAAACTTGCCCTGAGGTTTACTGTAATGTATAGAGGAATGTAACAGAGTTATTAATATCCTAATCCTTAGAAGGAATATTTCTGTGGGGAATTGATGAAAGTAACTGATGTATACTTTATCTTTCAGGGTGCTGGTGATGCTTTTGTAGGAACACTGGCATATTATTTGGCATACCATCCACACCTATCCATGGAGGACATGTTGCAAAGGTCCTGCAAAGTGGCAACCATTTCTGTGCAGGCAGCAGGTACTCAGACCAGCTTCCCTACTAGGAATAAGTTAGACAATTATCTGTTTGTGTGATGACAAGCACGAGGCACAAAGATAAGCAAACCATCTAGGGGTAAGTTTGCTGGTGTGATAAACTAGTAAGTGAACTACACACTGATCATATGGGTTATTTATAGGAATGGCCTACATTCAACAGTAGGAAAAACAGTACAATTATTTTTAGTGTAACTAAATTAATATATTTAATGGGAATGCTAAACCCATTGTGGCCAATAGGTTCAGTTCAAAGACGGGAAGGACACAATTCCATGAGACATTGTTTAGTGACATTTTGCCTGCTGTGGACTTTTTTTTTTTTATTTAAAGAGGCTGCAGATTAGATATTTTTTTTAAGCCAGCTTCTCAAGGTAAAGGCATTAGGCAAGTTACACTTGTACTCTTAATAAATTAAGTTCCTTTTATGGTTAAATGCCATTTGATTAATGTTATTTATTCATTCTAGAAAATTTAACATTAAGCAAAAGCTACTTTTCATGTGTATGGGATATACCATTAGCTCACGGGTTGCCAAGGTCTGTGAAGTTAATGGCAAGGACATGTCCTTGCCATTAAGGTTAGTCTGTGAAAGATAGTTTATATTGCCTTGCCATTTACTAGGAAGTATTTCAGTTGGTATCTATGATTTCCCCTTGATGGAGACCCCTCATTCAAAGCAGGGAGCTTAAAATGGCTATAAAATAATATACAGTGGACCCCAGCATAATGATTACCTCCGAATGCGACCAATTATGTAAGTGTATTTATGTAAGTGCGTTTGTACGTGTATGTTTGGGGGTCTGAAATGGACTAATCTACTTCACAATATTTCTTATGGGAACAAATTCGGTCAGTACTGGCACCTTAACATACTTCTGGAGTGAAAAAATATCGTTAACCGGGGGTCCACTGTATTATACAAATATTGCATTTAAATCTAAAGGTTAATTATAAAAATATTCCCAGAAAATATTTATTAAAAAATATACAAATAAATAGTCAAACAGTTGTATTTTGTACATTAAAAAAAACAAAGGCACAATTAATTTATTATTTAAAATGGCATATATCTAATATTTACCTGTTTTATCTTTTCTTTCTCTATTGTGAGAATCTATCTTCTGCCTTATACAGTAATTGTGAAAGTACCAGGCACTCTTGACTTGACAAACCTAGTAGTAACTTGTATAAAAAATTCTCACTTTACCCAGCTGTACAAAGTGTATTTGAAACTCGTACAACATTGTGTAATTTTCAAGTTTGGCACCAATGGTGTTCCTCCAGCAAAACCAAACAATTTACTTCTATAGGATGGGCTTTGCCATACAAGCTACTTCTGCTGTGTATTTTGTATAATTTACTTCTGTAATTATTCTACTTGATAGTAGTTAATGGTATATAAGACATGCTTAACACTTGCATATTTTCATTTTGCAGACATTTTACCAGCCAACAGAGAATAAACAGTGGAAGATGTGAAGAGGTAATGTTTTGTCCCTTGGCCTTGATAAGGCTAAAGCATGAGGTATTGAACACTTAACATTACCTCCATATTTTCTGCCATTTATTCTCTTTATTGGACTGATAAAGCCACTGGTTAGCAGACTGTGTCCGCAAAGATACTCGTGCATTACGAGTTTCTTATATATTTATGCTGCATAACACTTTCATATGATGGGTTTTGCTGAACATATTACTTCTGTAACTGCTAGGTAGAAATACACATCAACTACTAAAACAATTATTGTGACATTTTTCTTCCTAGCTTTATCAAGCCAAGGAATACAGAGGGGAATATAAAGGTAACATGAAGTACAAGAAGCAGAACATAAGCACTGCAGTATTCCTATAGGCCCATGCTGGTGGTAGTAGTAGATGTGACTTCTTGTTGGGCAATAGTGAGGTTTATCATTCTGAGGAGGATTCATGCTAGTATTTGAAATGATGAAGAATTAGACACATGTGCAATATCTGGGTATCTTTAATTGTGGACATTTTGCCAACCACTGGCTTTATCAATGTAATACATGGACAGTGAAGAATTATATACAAAAGATGAGGTAATCAGTCCCTCAGCCTTGTAGTTGAAGACTACAGTGCTCTTCAACTCCAAGGCTGAGGGACTGAGTACCTCATCTTTTGTGCTGTATATAATTCTTCACATTATGTCCTTGTATTGCCCTGATAAAGCCACTGGTTGGCAAAACATCTACAAATAAAGATACTCAGATGTTGCACATGTGTGTAATTCTTCTTGTCAGTATTGTATACCATTTATGTACAAGATAAATAAACCATACCACGGGCGGGGATAGAACCCGCGATCAGAGTCTCAAAACTCCAGACCGGGTTCTATCCCGCCCGTGGTATGATTTGTTTGCAATCGTGTCATTACGATTTCACGAGTCATGTACAAGATAAATGTTTCAAGGCCTTTTCTTCTGCAAGTGCTTCCTTCCTTAATTACTACTATGCAGGTGTCACTGAATGTCTTCAAATAGTTGATGGCATACTGGTGTTGTTACTTCTGCATTCAAAGATGTTTACCTTCAGACATATTCCTAGGTTTCATGCTGTTTCCCCAGATACCTTGTCACAGCCTCCACAAAAAAATATATAAACCCTTTCATTGGTAAGTTCAGGACTCGCCACCTTTACCCTGGTGAGGTCTTTGATGGACATAAGAGTTGCTATGGTGAAGTTTAGGGCAATTTGGCTGTTGGGAAGGATTATGACTTTGCACCCTAACACCACTGTGAACAGAGTTGATTGCAGGTGGGGTCATTACTTGCAGTTTTGATGAAAAGTTAAGAAAATGTAGTTCACTGAAGATTTGGTATATGTTTGAACATTCACCAAGTTATATTTTCCTAAATTTTTCATAAAGGACTGCAAAAAAATGAACCTTTAAATTATCAATTCTCCACATATATACACTAACACTATGAGCAAAGTTATAATCTTTCCCAACAGCCAAGTTGCCCTGAACAAAGCCAAGAGTCACCATAGCAATTATTACATTCATCAATTACCTCACCAAGATAAAAGGGGAGAACCTTGAATCAGTCATGCAGGGGTTTACATAATCTCTTGTGGAGGCTGTGACAAGGTATTTGTTAGGGAAACAGCTTGACCCTAGGAACATGTTTGAAAGAGCACATCTATGCATACAGAAGTAACAACTTCTGTATGCATAATGTGCTCTTTCTGTAAACTATAGTGAAAGTCACCAGTCGTTTTACGAGATTCAATGACGCTTATCAACTGATTAAAGCAAACACTCGCAGATGAAAATACCTGGAAGCATTAACCTCCATTTTGTACACAGTTACACAGAGCAGAGGAGAGCTTCATCTCAAACATTAGTATGAATAATCCTGAAAATGATAACCCCTACCATCACCTGACAAAAAGTTACTTTTACTACCAGCAGCCTGGGCCAGTAACACTACTGCTGTGTTTGTGTTCTATTTCTTGCACCTCACCATATTACCTTTATACTTCTAGCACTCTTGTATTATTTGCATAGATGAAATAAAGCTCCTGGAGTGCAAAACATTACGTCTCATTAATTACTTATGTCCTTTTGTCCTACAAACTGTTGGTAATTCTAACAACATTATTATTTTTGTAATTATTCAGTTTAACTTTCCTTTATGCAAGGCTATGCTAAACAAGTTACTTTTGTAGTTTCTTAACAATCAATCACCTTTAGGAGATAGGCTTTGTCTATTTGTTAAAGGTGATTATATATTTAAAAATAAATGTATATTTTTTTTTTTAACCTGCATGGATTGTACAGCAACAGGATTTGTTAAGAAAAAGAAAAATTAAGTTACTCTGCCTAATTCTCTATTCTTTGTAAGATGGCCTTGGCTACAAACATTACTGTTACAATTACTCTGCATAAATCTTCATTTTTTACAAAAGGCAAAAATTTACAGGAGCTAATGCACTGCTAATAATATTAATTACAATAAATAAACCATTTCTATATTAATTGTCCTGCATTAAAAAAAAAAATTACAATTTGAGAGACAACACAATAAGAGAGCCTTAAAAAGATTTTTTACATTCTTTGTGTTGTCTATACCTTCATATTCAAACCTAATATGGGACTAGGGATGAGAATGACAATAATAGACATGATACATTACAGTACATTCTGCTGCCATTGTGCAGCAAAGACCATTAAACCTAAAGGACTCCTTACACAGAGTATGAAAAAATAAGTTCTAGCAGAAAAATAGTTATTCCAAAAATGTTTTACTAGTTTTATCCTAGACAATAGGAACTACATTTAATTAGTTCTATACTGCATGGAAATGGAATATTGTCAGGGTCACCATGAGTTTATATGAGGCCTGCAGCATCCTCTCAGAAGAGGAGGCTGAGGTTCACAACAGCAATACAGTTACTGATTTAAGAATCTTACACAAATTACCTGTAAAATATATTGTATATCAAATTTACTATGCTACTATGACAGCAATACATAGGACGAATACAAGGCAAACTATGGGATGAGAGATTTGTTAATAAAAATGCAGTGAGAAAAAAATTTTCCACGAGTGTCGGTGAATGTCAAAATGTTTCTAATTGATATAATAGACTTGCCACAATGGATAACAGTCTAAGATTATAGATCATGTTTGCAAGTGATGCTGAGATCATAAATAAGTAATAAAAAATTACTTTAAATCCCATCAAAATGTGTATGAATTGAGCAAATGGTATGATATATGGGTGATGAAATTTAATGTTATAAAAAATGTGATGTAATGGAAGTAAGAAAATAAGATAACATTTCAAATTAAGAATATTAAAGTGAAGATCATAAATTAGATTATCAGAAACTTGTAGGCAAACTTTAAAAGGGCCTTCAGTTATACATTTAGGGCATGATAAAATCCTGTTACTGGCAAGCACTAAGGCAGAACTAAATTAAGTAGTGATGGCATGGTAAAAAAAAAAGTGTGGGTAAAATGACATGTTATAAAATAGCATTCATAGCTGAAAAATAAGTTACAAAGACTTAAAACACTAAAACTGCCATGGATGAAAGGAGGAAAAGAGGAAACATGGTAACTACATACAAAATCATAGATATGTATAAAAACGAATGATTTCTTAGGTATTCGAGGAGAACAAGAGGCAACACTTGTAAACTGAGAAAAAAAAAAAGTGTCGAGAAAATAATATAAAGTTTTTGTTATGTGTTGTAGCACAAGGGAATGGGATATAAGATCAACTACAAAATGATATAACCATTAGAAATTTCTTAAGAGTATATGATAAATTAAAGAGTGAAGACTGGACAACACAAGCATAGTTCTGTTCCTGTAGCTTCAGGTATGTGATCACAAATATTTACTCATACAGTATACTTAAAAGTATTGTTTATAAGAAACTGAAATTAATTTCTTATAGTTTCAGGTTATCAGCAACTTGCCTAAAATGAGGTTTTAACCTACTGTACTCTGGTTGGATTTTTCATTCATATTTGTAAGTGTAACCATGCAAATGAAAATTTTTACAACATATACTGTATTTCACGGCTTATTAGACATTTTTTTTCCATAAAATGTCTCCAAAAACCACCCTGCATCCTATAAACTGAAGGTCAGTGATGGGAGCTGTAGCTTTCCCAGTTACGTTCGATGCCGAGCCATTGAAACTAAAACAAGTCTTGTAAGCCGCAAAATACGGTATTAAGGGAATGTCAGATGACGCAAAACATAATATTAACCATATAATAACATCACAACACAATGATAAACAGCAAAGTACACCTATCAATTATGCGTACATTACTATATACTCCAAGTTGACCACTGCCATACAAAGAACTTCTATATTTATGTTGTTGTTAATTCTTCTGTTTTCAGATGCAACTATGCCAATCTTCCGAGAAATGCTATTAAGCATTTATTAAATAATATTACTAGGAAAAGGAAGAGATGGTGAAGAATTTATATTCATGAAAAGTAACTCTTGTAGGCAGATTAAAATGGTTAAAATGAATGGTGAATTAAATAAAGAGGTCTATATGCATAGCTGTATGTTATTTTAAACATGGGCACTGAAAACAGATTCATGAACTGCACTAATTTAAATAAAGCATACTGCATTAAATACTACTTTAAAAATTCATACATTTCAATAATAAGCATATGGTACCATTTGATGAATAACATCAAGAGACATTGTATAAGTGTTACTGAAAGCAAAAACAATACAAACCATTATTTTTTTTTTTTTAAGTATCACAGATATCCAAAAAGTTTTCATCCATACCACTACAGTATCATGACATTGATGACCAACAAGCTTTGAGTAGTAATTTTGTTATTGTGACTAAAAATAATGAAGGCAATGGGCAATCTTGTTAACTATATATCATGCTGAAACAGCTCTAGGGTCAATTAATACTTAAGAGGCACCACTGGTTTTATGCTTTCAAAAAGTGTAACTCTAATATTATTGTTACACAAGAGAAAGAGGAGAAGAAGGGAATGATGAGAAGGTAAAGTGTGAAGATGAGGAAGAGGGTAATTAGTTGAAAGATGATGAATAGAGGAGAAAGAATAATAATGATAAACAGGAGGATGAGATGAAGGGAAGGAGAATGAAAAAATAAAATGAGTGGAGAAAAAGAACAGATGACAACAAAGGAAACAAATATTGTTACATTTAAATATGGCAATAACCTGATTTGAAAGAATCTAAGAATCAAGACTGCTTCTGGAAAAACTAAGCTTTAATTTGTTTAAAACTTACAGAAATCAAAAAAGTATCAGCTCAATACAGTATTGCTTCCTTGGTTCAAAATCTTCGACAAGAGATACAGTATTATTTTATTCATTATTATTAGACATTTAAATGTAATTCTTATTCATTATCTATTCAAGAAATGAGTGAATAGTATTTTTTGTATAAGGTATCAATTTAAATTAAAATACTGTATAATCAATTATTACATTCATGGAGGTGGGGTGATAACTAGTAGAGGTCACACAGGAGTGTGTGAGGCTTTCAAGTTTGATCCAAGGAAAGGGAGAGCAAATCCAAGTTCTTGGATCAAGACCCACTCACCAGTATCAAGGAATCTCTCTTGAAGGGACTCTTCCGATCAAAATTCCTCATTCATCCATTCCTTCTTCATCTGAAGCAGAGACCTTGATGAATGCCTCCCTCCATGTCCATTCCTCTCCATTTTCATTTGTTTACAGAAATTTATAATACACTTTTCACTTTTTACTTTGCAGTACTGCTGTGAAAAAACTTCAAAAAGTATTCAGTGATTATGCAAATGATCCTAACTAACCCTTTCAAAATAACTATGGTAACTCACTTAGATGGAGCATTGCTAGTATTCATAACCAACTCTTTTTAAATTCTGATCTATTTTTCCTCCATCCAGAACCAATCATCATTTTTTTTTACATAGAAGATTCCTAGTATTTGACTGTATTAATCATTCTAGCAAATGTTGCTGATGGTCATGCAGATATCACAATTCTCTCTCATCTATTTAAAATGTTGCTTGGAATATACATATGCTGCCTTGGCAGATGGCTATTAAGCAAAAAAAAAAAAAAAAAAACAATGGTATCTTCACAAAAAATTTGACTTGTTGATGGTTTTATCTCTGATTAACTATACCCAGTTTTGAGATCTGCTTAGGTTAAGGCTAGATGCTTTAAATTCCTTGACTGACACTGCTACAAATGATAAAGTACAAAAAATATATTGTTGAACAAGGAAAATTTCTATCAATCACCTAAGGATTTGCTCTCTTATATGCCAGTATTTCAGGGTTTTTCAAAATTGTTTTTACAAGGGATTGAGAAGCACCATATGTACTATAACGTGTACCTTGGCACATCTGGTACTGAGAGGATTCTAGATTACGATCACAGTCAACACGATGAAAGACGTGGACAAGACCTGGGTCAGCAGATCGGAAGATTCGAATCCCACTTTTCAGCACCTAGAAAACAATGGCAAGGAAAGTAATAGTTATACTGGGGAGAGGAAAGGGAGGAGTGTTAAAATTATATTCACTAAAGTGACAAATTATACTTTTGAAATAAAACCTAGCACAAAGATATTTACATAATAATAATCCACTTATTTATTACCTTTTCAAAGAGATCAACATCCTCACCGCCCCAACCAAGAATGGACGTGTCCAAGCCACCTGCTACCTGCAGCTCAGATTTGTACATGGCCACAATACCATATCCAAAAGTTCGCCAATAGCCAACTTCCTCATTAATCTAGTGAAAAATGATAACCAAAATTTGTTTCTTTTATTTAGGGAGTATTATTAGTAGTAATTAAGGAGAAGACTAGATGAAAACAAGTTCATAATGATGAATACAATTATTATTTTTGTTTACTGCAAATCTATATTTTCAATATTCTGTAGGATTAATAGAATGCTAAATATTTCTAATCACGTTAATGTTAGCTGATATATGGGGAACTCAATGGTGGGGAGGAGGGGGGTTAAAGGGGGGCTGAATCCCCATAATCTTTCCCAGCTGCCCCCCCCCCTCAAATAAGTGTAATAACAACTCAGCTTCAAGACATGTCCCCTACCCCCCTCCCCATCCAATCAGACTGCCATCCCTAAGCCCCTCGTATGTAAAAATTCTGGAGCTGCTTCTGAGGGGATTATTCAGATGATTTTTTTTAACCCCCCGGCCAAAGAGAAATGTGTGTGACATTTTATCACACTCAATATAATGCTGACTGGATTTGTGTATATTTTCATACCAATAAATAAAACATTTAACCCGTTAAAGATCCAAATGTAGATCTACGTCCTTACAGCCAACACTCCAAACATAGATCTACGATTTATTTTTCCTGCCCCCAAATTTGGCACGATTGGCCTGAGATGCCTGGTCAGCATAGAATGGGTCTTAACACTCAGGGTGTGCAGTATTAAAAAAATCTGGGACCACTTAGTACCTTGTGGGAGCACCAGTTCAATTGAGTGCCAGCTAGAGCAAACAGCGCGGCAAACACCAAGGATTCACTGATGTCGTGTATTAACACTCCCCTTTTAAGAGGAAAGTGATGTTGACCCTGAGTTTAGTTGCTTTGAGGTGAATGTGGTCACAAGTGGCTGCAGAAATATCACAAACCTCGATAATAACCCATGTGCAACATTTGTGCAACACCCTTTCAATTTTGGTATAACTGGCAATGTCATTATGTAAAAAGAAAATTCTGTAACGTGTAATACGTGTTCGGCAGGCTGGCTGGCCTGTAAGTTTATTCAGGTATACACAAATACAGTTACAAAGATTATCATACATAGCAGCATATGTGCAAAGTACCTAGGATAACCCAGAAAAGTCAGTGACTTATTTCCATTGGCTGGCCTGCTGGCTGACCAGCTGGCTGATCAGCGGCTGGCTGGTGGCTGGCGTGGTTGGCTGGCCGGTGGCTGGCTGATGGGCTGTCTGTCTGTCTGTATCTATCTCTGTCTGTCTCTATCTCACAGGTACACATATGCAAATACAATTATACATAGTGTAAATTACCTAGGATAACCCCCAAAAAATCCAGACAAAGTGCTATACTGTGCTTGGAGATATATAATGCATAATAAACATGACTGGCAACTGGCAAATAATACACATTTTCACTTGTTCAGGAATCAGACGTGATCGTGTCTAATACCAGTTGGTTCAGGCAAAACTCTGAGACAAGAAAGACAAGCAAACAGAAAGACAGAAACACAGGCAGACAGATAGACACACAGGCAGACAGATAGACACACAGGCAGACAAAGACAGACACACAAAGGAAGGCAGAAAGACAGATAAACAGACATAGCTAGACAGACAGACACGTTTATGTGTAACAGTGAAAACAAATAAAGCCAGGGTTCCATGCAGCAGTGCACGATCATGTCACTCCACTGCTTACCCTGTCAGCAGTTTACTGACACTCGTCTTAACACCATGCTTCAAGCAGTTTCATATACATACTCCAGCGTATCTAAAACATTGCTGGGACCTATAAATACTTTGTATATATTCCTAGACAATAGTAAATGACCAAGGCAGTGTAAATGTTGACCTGTCAAAGTGTTTGTGACAATTTGAGTACAATTTCAGTACCTAATATTAGTGTCAGAACAAAGATTGGCTATGAAATCACAAGAACTACTATAAATTGTAATTATCAGAACATAAAAATTATATAAAATAATATAAAAATGAGAAAAAAGGTATATTGGTAACACTTTTTGCAAGCGGCAGAACTCCATGTTGCCGTCAGGTGAGCATCGAGCGCCAACTTCGTGGTCTTATGTACTGGTCCCCCCAAAATTTTTTTTGTCTTATTACACAAAGAAAAATGCCCTCTTTAATTAGAAAAAAGAAAAAAAAATTTTTTCCAAAATATTCGGAGCGCTGGGCGAGAGAACGTATATATACGTTTGGACCGTTAACAGGTTAAAATAATTTCTTCACATGTTAATCAAAAAAATACAAACACGCTACACATGCCTGAAACTACCAAACAAAGAAAGTTAAAACTCAAAAATTAACCCTTAAACGGTCCAAACAGATCAACGTTCAAATTCGTAGTGCTACAAAAGTAGATCTACTTTTTTTTACATATTTTCAAATATAACAAAAAAAATGTAGATAAAAGTTTTTTTTACACGTTTTCAAATGTAAAACAAAAAAGATCTACATTTCTTTACATACTTTCAGATGTTGAAAAGACGTATATATACATTTGGACCGTTTAAGGGTTAAAATATACAACTACTGTAACTAGCTTAATTAAAGGTATTTGATGAAAAAATCCAATCCCAAATTCTCATGAGTACCACAAATCCAGACAATTAAATAACCGTTTTTATGGATAGACGAATGTCAGAAAAGTATCTCTGTCCTGCACAAGAACTCGATGGAACTCTTACACAGTAGAAAAAACCTGTCATACTAAAAAATTCAAGTGTGTATAAGCACTGTAATACAGTGATGTATGCAGTGTGTGGGGACGAAGTAATGTAAACCATTGCTATAGCAGCTAAAGAGCAGTTCTAATGCATATATAAAATGAAGGTGGTTATGTATTGCAGTTATTGCTATGGCAATACAGTGGACCCCCGGTTAACGATATTTTTTCACTCCAGAAGTATGTTCAGGTGCCAGTACCGACCGAATTTGTTCCCATAAGAAATATTGTGAAGTAGATTAGTCCATTTCAGACCCCCAAACATACACGTACAAATGCACTTACATAAATACACTTACATAATTGGTCACATTCGGAGGTAATCGTTATGCGGGGGTCCACTGTATTAGCAAAAAGTATTTTAGTAAACCATGAAATTCTAAACAGGTTCAATTATAAAAATTGACTATATGCTTTGCCAACATACTGCATTGTACACGAAATATTTTAATTGGTAAAATTTGAAAAATTCAAAGGTTTACCAGAACTATATTTTACAAGATCTATCCCAGCTCTACTAAATTTTTAGTTGACTAAAAAGAAAATAACTTACCATACTATGGTCATAATTATCTTCACTGTCTCCTTTTCTTGCAAATTTTGGGTCAAATTCACTGAAGACGATGGGGTAGTATATCTGTAAAATTATCACTCTAAGTCTACTATACAAACATGATCATGCAAACACCTACTTAAATCACATAAGCTGCTATATGCAGGCCCTTAAGAGAGGACCCCCTCAAAGTACTCCCAGCTTCACAAGTTACCATTGATTTAGGCAAAATTTCCTTGCTGAAGACAGTTCAACAAGATAACCTTGAATGTAATAAAGTTATTTTTATCCAAAAAAATTTTTTGAAGATTTGTATTGTTTCTATTTTTTTACATACAATACTCTGTATAATCCTCCGGGTTTAGCGCTTCCCCCTTGATTATAATAATAATAATACATACAATACTATACCCTCAAGACGGGGCAGGTCATCTGAACTGTGATATTGGCATAATTCTGGCAAAACAATGACTGAATGAATGATGGTAAATGTGCTTCCTTTTTTGGGGGGGTCACCCTACTTTGGTGGGAGATGATCAGTGAAAAAAAATTACTATACTGTAGTCTGCCTACATAACCACTGTACGTTTACCCATGAAATACATACACAACTTGTATAGCCCAATATTAACCCTTTCAGGGTCAGAACCCTTGATCTGAGAATTGCTCTCAGGGTTGAGAATTTAAAAAATTATTTTTTTCTTATGAAATGGTACAGAATTTTTTTCCAAAGGTAATGAGACCAAAAGTATGAAATTTGATGAACACTTTGGAATTACACTTCTGCAAAGTTAGCGGTCTAGGCGATATTTACACATTGGCAATTTCACCAACTTTGAGCCCTATTTTTGGCCAGTTCCAATGTTCCAGTCGACCAAACTCATAGCTATTTCACTAGTATTCCTTCTATTCTATTGAATGAGTGCAAGAAACTGCCCATTTACCTATTTCAACTACCTAAAAAAGTGATCGGAAATTAGTAATTTGGCCAATTTCACACAAGGTTCAAAAACTGCCAAATTAAAAACAGGGTCCAGAATAAACACTGTAGACATTCATGGCACTAAAAAACATTTCCTCTGTCCATTAGTTACATCCGCAGGCCTCTCCTACATTACATTTGCTTTCCATTTTGAATTTTTATTCACACAAAAAATAGATTTACTGCTATGCAGAATGCTGTATTATTGTAATAATTATATAAATAATGTCAGCGCAGTTGTGAATGCGTATTCAACCAACCAGCTGGATGTGTACTGGATGAGTGACATAATTTGTGTATTCTGGAAATTTGGCAAAAATAAAATATTTCCACTACTTTGAGCTCAATTTCAAGCTAGTTTCAGTCCTGAAACCAATCAAAATCATCATCACTATTTCCGTAATATATTTTCAATTCTATCAGTTGAGACCAAGAAACTGACAATACAACCATAAAAACTATACGAAAATACACTGCAAAGTCAGTTTTAAACCAAACCAAAAACATGATCACAATTTTTTCCCCATTATACACTAAATGCTGGATGATTTTTTTTTTATATGGTGCACACTTACCACATAGACCCATTCTCTCACATCTGGGCCCAAATTTACCACTTATCTGAGAGCTGAGCTCAATGTTAATTATAAAGTAAAATACTGTAGTGTATATTATTGTTTTTTTAATGTTATCGTGATATAATGGACATCCCCCATTAGTATATTATAGTGAGGGTTTACTGTACTATCAAGTAGTAGAAACATTCAATGAATATTTAACTGTATCTATGAATAAATAGTGTACGTATAAGTATGCATCCATGTGTTTGCAGGATCAACAAGGTTATCACTATCTGCATCACAAGTTCACACAGCCCAGCTGATCAGCCACCTACTACAGAAACATATCTAGTTTTATGTTCATGACTTCCACATTTGTGCCAGCCCCCTTTTTTTTTTTTCTCCCCCCCCCCCCTTAGTCATCTCCCACCAAAGTAGGGGACCCACCCCAAAAATAATAAATGAATTCACCATCATTAATACAATTGCTGTCTTGCCAGAAGTTTGCTAAAATTACAATTCAAATAAACTTCTTAACTGTAACATCCCCACCCTTTCATCGGAATGCAGGAACTGCCCTTTATTATGTCGTATTAGATTAATTGAGATAGATAAATAAAGAGTAAAGAGTTTTTATGAGGATAGTGAGGCTCAGGTTAGGGTGTGTAGAAGAGAGTGAGACTACTTCCCGGTAAAAGTAGGTCTTAGACAGGGATGTGTAATGTCACCATAGTTGTTTAATATATTTATAGATGGGGTTGTAAAGGAAGTAAATGCTAGGGTGTTCGGGAGAGGGTGGGATTAAATTTTGGGGAATCAAATTCAAAATGGGAATTGACACTGTTACTTTTTGCTGATGATACTGTGCTTATGGGAGATTCTAAAGAAAAATTGCAAAGGTTAGTGGATGAGTTTGGGAATGTGTGTAAAGGTAGAAAGTTGAAAGTGAACATAGAAAAGAGTAAGGTGATGAGGGTATCAAATGATTTAGATAAAGAAAAATTGGATATCAAATTGGGGAGGAGGAGTATGGAAGAAGTGAATGTTTTCAGATACTTGGGAGTTGACGTGTCGGCGGATGGATTTATGAAGGATGAGGTTAATCATAGAATTGATGAGGGAAAAAAGGTGAGTGGTGCATTGAGGTATATGTGGAGTCAAAAAACGTTATCTATGGAGGCAAAGAAGGGAATGTATGAAAGTATAGTAGTACCAACACTCTTATACGGGTGTGAAGCTTGGGTGGTAAATGCAGCAGCGAGATGGTTGGAGGCAGTGGAGATGTCCTGTTTAAGGGCAATGTGCGGTGTAAATATTATGCAGAAAATTCGGAGTGTGGAAATTAGGAAAAGGTGTGGAGTTAATAAAAGCATTAGTCAGAGGGCAGAAGAGGGGTTGTTGAGGTGGTTTGGTCATTTAGAGAGAATGGATCAAAGTAGAATGACATGGAATGCATATAAATCTATAGGGGAAGGAAGGCGGGGTAGGGGTTGTCCTCGAAAGGGTTGGAGAGAGGGGGTAAAGGAGGTTTTGTGGGCGAGGGGCTTGGACTTCCAGCAAGCGTGCGTGAGCGTGGTAGATAGGAGTGAATGGAGACGAATGATACTTGGGACCTGACGATCTGTTGGAGTGTGAGCAGGGTAATTTTTAGTGAAGGGATTCAGGGAAACCGGTTATTTTCATATAGTCGGACTTGAGTCCTGGAAATGGGAAGTACAATGCCTGCACTTTAAAGGAGGGGTTTGGGATATTGGCAGTTTGGAGGGATATGTTGTGTATCTTTATATGTATATGCTTCTAAACTGTTGTATTCTGAGCACCTCTGCAAAAACAGTGATAATGTGTGAGTGTGGTGAAAGTGTTGAATGATGATGAAAGTATTTTCTTTTTGGGGATTTTCTTTCTTTTTTGGGTCACCCTGCCTCGGTGGGAGACGGCCGACTTGTTGAAAAAAAAAAAAAAAAAAAAAGATAAATAAGCCATAGAGTTAATATTAGTGTTATGCTGAAGTATTTTCTCCTGCCTCCTGAGAGCCAAGAATTCCGCTGGAACGAATTAATGGCATTTCAACTAAATTCAACGAGGAAAATTGATTTGATATACGAGCAAACTGAATTACAAGCTGGGTCACGGAACAAATTAATCTCGTAAGGTAAGGTACCAGAGTATAAAGGAGGGGTGAGGATGTTGCAGCTCAGTGGGCCATTTGAACTGTGACAACCGTTTCTTTTTTTTCAATGCAAAAAGGCTAATATGATTAAAAATTTTGTTTATCTTGTTTTAGTTTATACAGTTATTTTACACAACTATTTCCACAAGAGCAAATACAGATAATGAATTTCTCACATATATCATAAATGGTAATTTGGTTTAAACAGTGATCATATAAAAAATAGAAAGGCTTTTGTTTACCATAGTTTCAGATGACAGAATGAGAGATAATTGGCCATTTACCATATATTCCTGCCCTCACACCACAAAGAATGAATTGATAACATACATTATTGTTCACATTTTTGTGAAAAATGTTTGTTTTGCCTGTATAAAAAAAAAATGAGTCGCATACAAAAAAAAACTATCATCGTCATTCCTATATTTAATTTTAACCTAAGAGTAGTTAGAGATGATACCCTTAAAATGCAGAAAAGCTACTGCAAACAGATTAAGTAAAAACTGCTTAATATATGTACTTCAAACACTGTGCCAAACAAACTACACTTATAAACTGGGTTAATTTTTGGTATGTATTTCTATGGACATACCTGATATCCTTTTATGGTATGAAGACGAATCCTATCCAAAGTAGAGGAGGTGAAAGTCATATCGACATCTATGAAGAACATCAGGTCATTATCCTGACACTGACCAGTGCCCAGTTCCAAAGCCAGTGCTCGAGCAAAAGTAGTGTTTGCCTAATATACAAAATCAGAATTATGTTAAAGCTGAATTGTTCTTAGATCAATATTCACAATAATAAAAATCAAAATAATATCAGGACTAAAATTAATTAAGAACTCTTAAAAGGCTTATGTTTGATATTGTTAGCTGGAACAACTTTCTACTTAAACTAAAGCACTGTGTTCATTAGGTAGAACCTTCAATTTAGTGAGCTAATTGGGACAGCAGGTGGCCAGTAACAGAGGCATCGCTAGAGTTGGTGTCACCCGGGGCAGCATGTTTGGTGTCACCCCCATGAAATTCAAGGGCTGGGGGATGGGGGGTAGTAAACTCCAGTTATGTCACTACTGCATGACCAGTGACAAATGTTTAGCAATAAGAATGTTTAAGAGCCATAAACTGAACAGGAGAATACTTCTCAACTTTATTAATGATAAAATATATAATGGTAATAATATTGAGGAAACATAAACTCAAATACCACTTTAAGTACACCAACAGATCCTACATTTATTCATCTTCAACAATGGCAAAAACTAAAAAATAAAAGACTTGAAAAATAAAGAAAAACACTGCAATATCAGAGAAATACTAGTTCTGATATGACCTTGAGTACAGGTAACATCTCAGTAAATCTGATATTACATTTCCTTGCCTTCAATTATGCAAAATCATCTATCACATAATCAAAATCAATCTGTCAAATCATCAAAATCAACGAAGGATTCTTCTCTTATGTTGGTGCAGCACTGTTTTGTGCATTAGTGTTACCTTTTTTAGAGGCTTTATGGTGTCACCCCCTAAATGGTGTCACCCGGGGCGGCCTGCACCCCCCCCCTTATGACGCCTCTGGCCAGTAATAGTGAGTGTAGTGGATAGTGATGGGACTGTTTTGCCGTGATTATAACAATAATGGGTAATTCTATAACCAGCAAACATTACTTCCAAACCAAGTGGCCCAGCCTATTTTGTTCTGTATTTTTGAAGTTCATTAAATTGAGGAGTTCCTGTACCTGAGTAATATCCATGGCCCAAAACTCTTCCATGCACTACCAGAATGAAATCAGAAATTTTCAAGAAGCTGGACAGCTTCCTGCAACTGAGAAGTGATGGTTATGTTGGCCTGTGGACTGCTAGCAGAAACAGCCTGGTTGACCAGGCCTTAAACCAGGTTACAGGGGGTTAAAGAACCTTTGATACTTGTCACAAGTAAAAATCTTTTCTCAATGACAAATGTTAACATAGTAAAATTGTAATTGTCCTCAATTGTTTACAAGATGTAATAATGTATTTTCTTAATAAATTACTATTATTATTATTATTATTAACGGTATAATTCAAAAGGCTAGAGCATGTTCTCTCTCATAAAATGTAACAATGTCTCGATATCAATGATTATTTCTTTATGAATTGATTTTGCATGCCTACTTTATACCTGTGACCAGTTTCTAGTTTTTAACTCATGCCAACCCAGCCTGTGGCCAAACTTTCATGGTGACTGCTGATCAGCCAGGCTATTGCTATCTTCAACCCACAAACCCACATAATTATCACAGTTCATCAAATCAAAGGACCAATTGCAGACACTTGATTTCTACTTGGGTGCCAGCCACATTTCTTACATTTAAAATAATTGTTGACACTAAATCCCTCCCAGCATTTTTCCTTTTTACCTTTTAACTTTTAATGAGTTCCAAGTTTCTCTACTCCCTGAGCCCTGTCTTGGGCCAGGCTTGTCTAGCCCTTCATTGAACAAACTATAAAATTCTCTCTTTACCAATCTAAAGAGATAATAAGTGTACAACACATTTAAAGAGCACCTGAAGAACAGTCATCACAATATGAGGATAGTCTAGCTGAAGGCTGGAGATAAGTGCCTCCACATCCTCCGTTGTGTCATCTTCTCCTGGTGATGGACGGAAGGACACCACCACCAGCCGAACGTTCTCTTCACCTTCTAGACATACTCGTTGAAAGTCGTCTACATAAAAAATTATAATGATTATTCAGTCTCTTTAAATCTCATGTGTTTTAGAGTTATTTACAATATTATTAAACTATAATCAAAATCTCAGTAAAGGAACAGTAGTTGATTTTTAATGTTAAAAAATGAACATTTGCATGCAAACAATATCATTAATTACCTAACATATTGCAACTGAGAACCAGTGGCAGCTCGTAATGCCAATAATATCTATACTATCATACAGCATCAAACTTCTATTTTTAATAATTTATCTCGTTTCAACAAAAAAATAAAAATTCACTTATAAATATACATTGAAAACAACATACAACAGAATTTTTCTTAATACATTTGTCAGTTGCAAATTATTTTAGCATAAGGCTGATGAAGTCATATGTCTGGCAGTGAGCATCTGGGACGACTGCAGCTGTGCAGCTCCTATGGGCGAGCTGCCACTGCCGAGAACTAAGCAATAATTTCTGTATAAAAATATGTTATAGGGAAAGGATGAAGTGCAGACAGGAATGAAGACTAAAACATATAACAAAAGCATTTACTGGGACAATGTTTTATGTTTTGTGATAAGGAGAGCTTTTTTAAGTCATGGAAAAGCTCTCTATAGTGAAACACTATCCCAATAAAATCTTGCTCTACTATACATAAGTCTGTAACAGATGCAAAACATACCCATAAAACGTTGGAACGTTTTAAACCTTCCTGCCAGAGGTAAAATGAAATGAATTTTCTTTGGTTTCATCTGAGTTCTTGGAAATGCTGCAGACGGAATCTGAAATACAAAATTACATATGGTTAGAAATAGGTTAATTACATAAAATTTTATGTTCTAAATAAGTAGTGGCATATAATATCCCAATTATTCAAAGTCTTGCTAGCTGTTGCACCATCTTGTTATATGAAGCTTGACTCAAACTTACATAAATGAAGAAATTACTCGAGTCTCAGGCATTCAGTGCACATATGCAAATCTGTGCACTAGATGAATGGTTCAGAGAACCGACATGTTGATAAATTAGACACGTGCAACTCTTGGGTATCTTTATTGAGGAAACGTTTCGCCACACAGTGGCTTCATCAGTCCATACAAGGGAGAATCGTGAAGAACAGGAGGAGAACGAGGTAATCAGTCCCTCAACCTTGAGTCGATGTAGTCAGTCCATCAATCTTGAATAGAATACAGCATATGAGCAGAGAAGTGGCTTATATACCGTAGGCAGGAGAGGTGCAGCAGTCGAAGGTGGTGTCACATTTGTCCATGTGGAAGTAGGTCGTGCCCAAGGGTTAGGCACAACCTACTTCCACATGGACAAATGTGACACCATCTACGACTGCTGCACCTCTCCTGCCTACGGTATGTAAGCCACTTCTCTGCTCATATGCTGTATTCTATTCAAGATTGATGGACTGACTACATCGACTCAAGGTTGAGGGACTGATTACCTCGCTCTCCTCCTGCTCTTCACGATTCTCCCTTGTATGGACTGATGAAGCCACTGTGTGGTGAAACGTTTCCTCAATAAAGATACCCAAGAGTTGCACATGTGTCTTAATTTATCAAATCTGTGCACTACCTGTTGATAATTCTGAGGATCACTGCCCCTGTCATTAGTTGGTCCAGTTTTGGAATAGGCCTTCTGCTTGATGGCTTACATATTAATATAACGATATTTCAAAACAAAATTTTATCATAAGGAAAGGTTCACCATGACACAATCCCTTAAAACCTATATCTTATCACTAAATACATAATTCCAGAATCTAGGCTCTTTCACTTGGGTATGTAGAGAAGACACATGTGTGGGAATTAAGACATTTAATAAGGCTACAATTCGCCCACCACAGGCTTCTTCAGTTCAGTGACTGAAGAAGCCCCTGGCAGATGAGACGTATCCTTAATAAATGTTTGAATACCAGTATACATGTCTTCCTTACATACTTATCGGTGTTAATCACAAAGTTCGACTTTATTTGGGGTAGAAGTTTCAGTAATACATTCCTGGATGTTCCATCATTTAGAAAAGTACAGTGGTACCCCGAGTTTCGAACTTTCTTCATTCCAGAAGGCTGTTCAAGTGCCGTTACTGAATGAATTTATTCCCATAAGGAATAGTGTAACTTAGATTAGTCCGTTTCAGACCCCCAAAAATACACTTGCAAAAGCACTGACAATAATACACTTGCATAATTGGAAGAGTGGGGAGCAGTTTGAAACTCGGGATACCACTGAAATCTAATCCTCATAAGAGGCTAAGAGGAATTACTTGTTAGCCTCTCTGGTCTAGATTTTTATGCCTCTTCTCTACATGATTTCTTAAATGATACTAATTTGCTGCATCAACTATAATTCCTTCAGCATCTCTGCATCTATTATCCTTTTTAAGCCTGCGGTGTAATGCCGAACAAGTCTTGCAGGTTTATAGTAGTTCTTTCATTGAATGTGATGATAATCTCCCTAGATAAACCAATAAAAGCAATTTAAGTTGCCCTTGCATTAGTGTGTTAAGTAATAAATGTTAAACTTATACCAAGACAAAGTTATCCATAACAAAGCCATTTCAACATATAAATAATGAAAGTGTTTTTGTTTAAGCCATCTTACTTGGTAATGGAGCTTTGAGAGATCATTAATGCTGCCTTTTACAACCACTTCCACTAACTCGTGAATTCCAGATGGTGATTCCAATGTTTCATCTATCCCTGCACTTTCATATTCACGAATATACAGAGGACCAAATGGAATCTGAAAGTTTAGGCAAATTTTTAAGTATCAGATATAGTACATGCATTAGAAACAAATAAACTTAAAAACAAAAGCTAGGAGACAGATTATGTACAGAATGTGTTTGACAGTATGAAGGAATGTTTCAGTAAATTAATGATATACAGTACCAACAGGCTGATGAATAAGACATGTGCAAAAGACGGACATTATAAATAGAGATGACATTTTCCCAATCAGTGGTTTTGAAATTCAATGCAGGGACTATATATTTGAGACAGTCAAAGATGAGAGGATGAGAAGGACTGAACACTTACCAAGGCTGAGCAATCAATTTCCTCATCTTCCACTATCTCCAGTATGCAATCTCCAAACCAAAATGAAAAAGCCACTGGCTGGTGAAATATCTTCACAACCAAGAAACCCAAACACTGCATGTATCTTATTCAAGAATGTGAAGAAATGTTGCTGAGACAAGTTTTAAGAAGTTCTAAGCATTTAAAAAACAATTATACACCAGAGATAACATATAGATGAAAGAATACCTGAAATAAATGTAAAAAGTCAACAGTAGTGTATGAACTTTGAGCATGCCAATCTATTTTATGTGGTAGCTGTATTGCGCACAGTACCCTCCTGTGCTTATTAGGAAAGGCAAGTTACAATAGCAATCTGCTGCAGTATTTACAGCAGGTGAAGCTGGGATATTTAACTAAGATTATTGGCAATAATATACAGTACAGTATGTCATTATGAATTACATATAGAACACTGAAAGCATGGTATTTTTCTTTCTCAAGAGATTTTCTCCAAATTTCAAAATTTTTATCATATTTAAGTATATTAACTAATGCTGCAGAATGTGCAGAATGGGCAATGCTTTCAGTCCAGCAGAAACCTGCGAATAATATTGTATATGTAACTAACCTGCAAGTATGCATGTCTGCGAACTGGTACTGTCATCTTTTTCCCTCTATATTTTTTGTATAGGAGCAACATGTCTAGGATGTACTCTAAAGCTAGAGTTGGATGCCATCTAATGTAGCCATACAGCACTTCCTTAAAGTCAATCACTCGTCCACGTTCTTTAGACACTCTGAAAATTTTTCCCATAAATAAAAATATGTAAAAGAATTGTTCAATTTTTACAGAAGAACCAGAATACCTATATATACATTAACTGAACTACATAATATTTTCACTGTTTTTGCTGTTGCTATGTAAGAAGTGTAAGAGTAGATGGAATGAGAAACTAATAAATCACAATTGTCCAATATACAAGAGAAACAATTGGAAACTTTACTCAATGTTTCACCTATGCTGTAGGCTTTTTCAAGACTAATCACTCACTATAAAAAGTTTGGGCCACACAGGAGAAAAAAATTGTCTTGGGGGTTATGAAATAAAAAAAGAGTAAAGATTACAAAGCAGCAGTCTTACAAAAATTTAAACCCAAATAAAACCCCAGAAGATAAAAGGAGTTTTTTTTAAAAAGGGAATAAATGGGCCATGTTACTCTTTCCTGCCCTTCAAAAGGGAAGCCTTCAGGGCCAGTAAAGAAACTCTTGCCCAAAGGGAAACAGAGGTACCCTTTCCCTTTTCCCTTTTTGTTTAAACCCCTAACTGTCCCCCCATTCCCTTTTTGGCACTGAAACCGACTCCTATGGGTCCAGCATTTCTCAATGATATGAGATGAAAATTTTTTTAAAAATTAACTCTAAAAATATAAGTGTCCTTAGGAGAAGGTTACTTCTTTGAAGTGTTTTTATAAAAAAATTTGGGGGCTATTCAAACCTTTCAGTCTGACTCAAGCAATAATTTTAAAAAATTTAATTTATATCTTATGCTGAAAAAACTTGATATATTTTAAACTTTAAGTAAAATCAAAAAAGGGGAACAGGTAAAAATTTAATCATCTGTGAGCCGGGCTTTTTTTTTTTTGGGGTCAAACTGATGTAAATTCTCAGTTTTTTCTTTCTGTAATAACATGTTCCAAATGCAAGTCGATAGATCAATAGTACATAAAAGATGTACAAAAAAAAAAGGAAAGAAAAAAACCCCTTTGAGGAAGGAAACAGCCTGAGTGAAAGTGAAATTTTCCCTTATTTGTTGCTACAAGAAAGAGGTATACTCAAAACTTTGGCTTGTACATAACATTGGGGTAATCAAAAATTTTTTTAAACTTTGAAGACATGCGGGAAAGGGCGGGCCCCAGCAGATATGAGAAAAATTTTTAAAAAAATTTCCCCTTGCTTGATTCTCTCCCTTGTCCAAAGGGGCAGTAAATCATCAACAGAAAGTTGAAGAATCAAACCGTCTGTCATTTGTTAACCCCAATACGTACACTGAAAATTTAAAAAAAATTATAAAAGATTTTTTTTAAATTTTTAAAATTTTAAACCCTTTTTTCCCTACAACACTTATTTTTTCGGGTATTTTTTAAAGAAAGTGTGAAACAAGAGAAAAAAACAATGATAAATTACAAAGTCAAATTTTTTTTTTTTTAACAAACTGGCCCTTTTACCATAGGTAGGGGGACACAAAAGAAGAAACACTTTTACCCTCAATTTAAACATCACTGTCTTGGGCCCGAGGTCAGGCATATTTTTTTTTTTTTTTAACAAACCGGGTGTATCCCACCAAGGCAGGGTGGCCCCAAAAAAAAAAACAAAGTTTCTCATTTTAAATTTAGTAAAATTTTTTACAGAAAAGGGGGTTTTTAGCTCCTTTTTCCCGGCATTTTAGTCCGGGGCCCCTTTAACCCAACAGGGATGGGTTTTCGGAGGAAGAATTTTTGGTTTCCCCTTTTCCCCCGGGGATAAAGGAAATAAACAAAAACTAGAAAGAAAATAGAAGAAAACCCAGGGGGTGTGTATAATATGCTTGTACATTAAATGTGTGGGACCTAAGGTAAGTAGAATGCAAAACATACCTGAAATCTTGCATTTTATGAACAGAAAAGAGGACAAACCACAATCCAACCCCGTGTAGAAAAAATTTCAGGCATTCGTTTTAAAACTCCCCTTGGCAGGACGGTAGTACCCCCCCTGGGGGGGTTGCTGTCTACCAACCTACTACCTAGGGTCAGGCTTTTAAAAATTTTTAAAAATATTGCGGTAATCACAAGGATGATTTAATTTTGAAATCAAATTTTTAAAGGGCCCCTCTTTTTCCCAAATGCCAGGGAAAGAAAAAATGTTCAAGATCTTACATACATATATTTACCTTCTTTTTTCTTTCCAAAAAAAACCCCCGGGCCGAAACCCCCAGGCGGGGTGGCCCAAAAGGAAAAACGAAATTTTTTTCCTTTTACAATTTGTAAAATATACAGGAAAAGGTTACTAGCCCCTTGCTCCCGGCATTTTAGGGTTCCTCTTACAACACGCCTTTGGGTTTTGAAGGGAAAAATTCTGTTTTTCCCCTTCCCCTTTGGGGCTTTAAAAGGGGAAAAAAACAAGAATAAGAACTAAAAAAAATAGAAGAAAACCCCGAAAGGGGGGTGTATATAAGTGCCTTTTTACAAAGAATGAAAGGGGGAAAAAACAGCCGGAACTGATGGGATCATGACAGAAATGTTAAAAGCAGGGGGGATATAAATGTTGGGGTGGTTGGTACTTTTTTTAAAAAAATGTATGAAAGAGGGAAAAGGGACCTAGGGATTGGGAGAGAGCATGTAAAGTCCCCTTTTTTTTAAAGGGAAAGGGGACCCAAAAAAATTGTAAAAATTATAGAGGAATAAGTTTTTTTTGAGTAAATTTCCAGGAAAAGTGAGGTAAAGGGTTTTTTAATTGAAAGAATTAGAGGTAAGACAGAATGTAGGATTGCGGATGAGCAAGGAGGTTTCAGAGTGGGTAGGGGATGTGTAGATCAAGTGTTTACATTGAAGCATATATGTGAACAGTATTTACATAAAGGTAGGGAAGTTTTTATTGCATTTATGGATTTAGAAAAGGCATATGATAGAGTGGATAGGGGAGCAATGTGGCAGATGTTGCAAGTATATGGAATAGGTGGTAAGTTACTAAATGCTGTAAAGAGTTTTTATGAGGATAATGAGGCTCAGGTTAGGGTGTGTAGAAGAGAGGGAGACTACTTCCTGGTAAAAGTACGTCTTAGACAGGGATGTATAATGTCACCATGGTTGTTTAATATATTTATAGATGGGGTTGTAAAAGAAGTAAATGCTAGGGTGTTCGGGAGAGGGGTGGGATTAAATTATGGGAATCAAATTCAAATTTGGGGAATTAACACAGTTACTTTTTGCTGATGATACTGTGCTTATGGGAGATTCTAAAGAAAAATTGCAAAGGTTAGTGGATGAGTTTGGGAATGTGTGTAAAGGTAGAAAGTTGAAAGTGAACATAGAAAAGAGTAAGGTGATGAGGGTATCAAATGATTTAGATAAAGAAAAATTGGATATCAAATTGGGGAGGAGGAGTATGGAAGAAGTAAATGTTTTCAGATACTTGGGAGTTGACGTGTCGGCTGATGGATTTATGAAGGATGAGGTTAATCATAGAACTGATGAGGGAAAAAGGTGAGTGGTGCATTGAGGTATATGTGGAGTCAAAAAACGTTATCTATGGAGGCAAAGAAGGGAATGTATGAAAGTATAGTAGTACCAACACTCTTATATGGGTGTGAAGCTTGGGTGATAAATGCAGCAGCGAGGAGACGGTTGGAGGCAGTGGAGATGTCCTGTCTAAGGGCAATGTGTAGTGTAAATATTATGCAGAAAATTCAGAGTGCAGAAATTAGGAAAAGGTGTGGAGTTAATAAAAGTATTAGTCAGAGGGCAGAAGAGGGGTTGTTGAGGTGGTTTGGTCATTTAGAGAGAATGGATCAAAGTAGAATGACATGGAAAGCATATAAATCTATAGGGACAGGAAGGCGAGGTAGGGGTCGTCCTCGAAAGGGTTGGAGAGAGGGGGTAAAGGAGGTTTTGTGGGCAAGGGGCTTGGACTTCCAACAAGCGTGCGTGAGCGTGTTAGATAGGAGTGAATGGAGACGATTGGTACTTGGGACCTGACGATCTGTTGGAGTGTGAGCAGGGTAATATTTAGTGAAGGGATTCAGGGAAACCGGTTATTTTCATATAGTCGGACTTGAGTCCTGGAAATGGGAAGTACAATGCCTGCACTTTAAAGGAGGGGTTTGGGATATTGGCAGTTTGGGGGGATATGTTGTGTATCTTTATACGTATATGCTTCTAAACTGTTGTATTCTGAGCACCTCTGCAAAAACAGTGATTATGTGTGAGTGTGGTGAAAGTGTTGAATGATGATGAAAGCATTTTCTTTTTGGGGATTTTCTTTCTTTTTTGGGTCACCCTGCCTCGGTGGGAGACGGCCAACTTCTTGAAGAAAAAAAAAAAAAAAAAAAAAAACATGTATGTGTAGTGTGACCTAAGTGTAAGTAGAAGTAGCAAGACATACCTGAAATCTTGCATGTTTATGAGACAGAAAAGAGGACACCAGCAATCCTACCATCATGTAGAACAATTACAGGCATTCGTTTTACACTCACTTGGCAAGACGGTAGTACCTCCCTGGGCAGTTGCTGTCTACCAACCTACTACCTAGGGTCAGGCATATATATTATATAAATATTGTGTGTAATCACAAGGATGATTTATTAGTGAAGATCAAATTTGAAGCCACTCTTTATCACCAATGCCAGGAATGAATATATGTTCAGAGATCTTACATACATATATTTACCTAACAATAAATAAAAACATGATTTTTCTACAAGATCACTCCAGTCATTATACTCCATCCAGTATCCTACTGAACTTTCCAGCTAATAAATACTAAAGTTAAACATATTCTTTAAGAATAATGCAAGATATTCTTATCTCTTCCTTACATTTTACAAAATAAATATAGACATAAGGCCTGACCTGGTCACTGACTGGGCTGTGGGGGCGATGACCCCCAAAACTCTCTCCAGGTATAAGGACTGTCTCGAAGGATACTGGATTACAGTATTCCAATTATTACTGAATTTTTTAGTTTTTTACTCTGGAAGTAATATAGAGAGATGCACAAGAACATTATGTAGGACTATAGGTGACTATGGCACACACTTATGAAGAGGATGTTATGAAACCATGAATGGCAAAACTTAAATAGATTAATATGAAACACTCAGTGTTTGTCAATCCACACAAGTAGTGGAGATCTGATCCTCCATCCTCTACTAAGAAGTCTGACAAGCCACTCTTGCATCTAAGCTCAGGATAAAAGACAGGAAACATGTAGAGGTGTCCACTCCTATAAGGTAAGAAAAAAGCAAAAAAATGTGACATGGAAAGATAATGAAATACATACAGTACTTTATAGTTACAAAAACTGTGCTTAAGTGTTAACTTCTGGCTGTCTAGATGTGGTAGCACTGAAGTTCACTGATAGCCACATCTACGTAAGTAACATGAAGCCTTGTACTTACATGTGCAAGAAAAAATCAAACGTCATGCAAAGAATAAAAGAGAGAAACCAATGACCAGAAGGGTAGAACTAAGGATATAATGCTCTGCTTACCTTTAGGGTTCAGCCCTGCAAAATATTTATGCAACATTAAATATGTTCATTGTCTAAATCATTTCACTTTTTAGTTATGCTATATTCAACAAGAGATTACAAATATATATAACGTACTACAATTTATAAATTAAAAGTATATAAAAAATTTATTTTACATGCAACTTTCAACTACAAACCTTGAACTATGATGAAATTATTACTAAAAAGATAATTACCTGTTAATTATTTCCATGACATCTCGTATTACATCAGCCAATCCCTCAGTCATACCAGAAGTGGGCTTGTGGCGAGGATTGGCACTACCTGGCTGGAATGCTGCCTTGCTCACAAAGTCCCAATACAATACTTCCTCTTCAGAGTCAGCTACCCATTTCTGTAGAGTCACATCAGTGCCTAGTTACAAAAAATAGGATGTCAACAACACCCCAACAATTAACTGAAGAAAAACCAATTAAAAAACATAAAGTAAAGAGAGTGGTGAGAGAGTGCAAAAGGAGAGCAGATGATAGAGTGGGAGAGGCACTGTCAAGAAATTTTAATGAAAATAAGAAAAAATTTTGGAGTGAGTTAAATAAGTTAAGAAAGCCTAGGGAAAGTATGGATTTGTCAGTTAAAAACAGAGTAGGGGAGTTAGTAGATGGGGAGATGGAGGTATTAGGTAGATGGTGAGAATATTTTGAGGAACTTTTAAATGTTAAGGAAGAAGCAGAGGCAGTAATTTCATGCACTGGTCAGGGAGGTATACCATCTTTTAGGAGTGAAAAAGAGCAGAATGTAAGTGTGGGGGAGGTACGTGAGGCATTACGTAAAATGAAAGGGGGTAAAGCAGCTGGAACTGATGGGATCATGACAGAAATGTTAAAAGCAGGGGGGATATAGTGTTGGAGTGGTTGGTACTTTTGTTTAATAAATGTATGAAAGAGGGGAAGGTATCTAGGGATTGGCGGAGAGCATGTATAGTCCCTTTATATAAAGGGAAAGGGGACAAAAGAGGTTGTAAAAATTATAGAGGAATAAGTTTACTGAGTATACCAGGAAAAGTGTACGGTAGGGTTATAATTGAAAGAATTAGAGGCAAGACAGAATGTAGGATTGTGGATGAGCAAGGAGGTTTCAGAGTGGGTAGGGGATGTGTAGATCAAGTGTTTACATTGAAGCATATATGTGAACAGTATTTAGATAAAGGTAGGGAAGTTTTTATTGCATTTATGGATTTAGAAAAGGCATATGATAGAGTGGATAGAGGAGCAATGTGGCAGATGTTGCAAGTATATGGAATAGGTGGTAAGTTATTAAATGCTGTAAAGAGTTTTTATGAGGATAGTGAGGCTCAGGTTAGGGTGTGTAGAAGAGAGGGAGACTACTTCCCGGTAAGAGTAGGTCTTAGACAGGGATGTGTAATGTCACCATGGTTGTTTAATATATTTATAGATGGGGTTGTAAAGGAAGTAAATGCTAGGGTGTTCGGGAGAGGGGTGGGATTAAATTTTGGTGAATCAAATTCAAAATGGTAATTGACACAGTTACTTTTTGCTGATGATACTGTGCTTATGGGAGATTCAAAAGAAAAATTGCAAAGGTTAGTGGATGAGTTTGGGAATGTGTGTAAAGGTAGAAAGTTGAAAGTGAACATAGAAAAGAGTAAGGTGATGAGGGTGTCAAATGATTTAGATAAAGAAAAATTGGATATCAAATTGGGGAGGAGGAGTATGGAAGAAGTGATACTTGGGAGTTGATGTGTTGGCGGATGGATTTATGAAGGATGAGGTTAATCATAGAATTGATGAGGGAAAAAAGGTGAGTGGTGCGTTGAGGTATATGTGGAGTCAAAAAACGTTATCTATGGAGGCAAAGAAGGGAATGTATGAAAGTATAGTAGTACCAACACTCTTATATGGGTGTGAAGCTTGGGTGGTAAATGCAGCAGCGAGGAGACGGTTGGAGGCAGTGGAGATGTCCTGTCTAAGGGCAATGTGTGGTGTAAATATTATGCAGAAAATTCGGAGTGTGGAAATTAGGAAAAGGTGTGGAGTTAATAAAAGTATTAGTCAGAGGGCAGAAGAGGGGTTGTTGAGGTGGTTTGGTCATATAGAGAGAATGGATCAAAGTAGAATGACATGGAAAGCATATAAATCTATAGGGGAAGGAAGGCGGGGTAGGGGTCGTCTTCAAAAGGGTTGGAGAGAGGGGGTAAAGGAGGTTTTGTGGGCAAGGGGCTTGGACTTCCAGCAAGCGTGCGTGAGCGTGTTAGGTAGGAGTGAATGGAGACGAATGATACTTGGGACCTGACGATCTGTTGGAGTGTGAGCAGGGTAATATTTAGTGAAGGGATTCAGGGAAACCGGTTATTTTCATATAGTCGGACTTGAGTCCTGGAAATGGGAAGTACAATGCCTGCACTTTAAAGGAGGGGTTTGGGATATTGGCAGTTTGGAGGAATATGTTGTGTATCTTTATATGTGTATGCTTCTAAACTGTTGTATTCTGAGCACCTCTGCAAAAACAGTGATAATGTGCGAGTGTGGTGAAAGTGTTGAATGATGATGAAAGTATTTTCTTTTTGGGGATTTTCTTTCTTTTTTGGGTCACCCTGCCTCGGTGGGAGACGGCCGACTTGTTGAAAAAAAAAAAAAAAAATGGGTAGATGACAGTATAATCCAACAAATGGTAAATCAAAGACAGTATGTTGAAAGAGCCTTTATTTTACAATATTTCACCCAAGTGCTTGATAAACAAGTGCTGTGAGTGAAATATTATGAAATAAAGATTTTCCCTGCTTAAACCTTCGATTTAGAGGGGTAATAGGGGTTATTGGGCGGCCAGTAATGGTGACCATGCTAGCTAGAGATAAGACTGTTGTGCAGCAATCATAACAATAGCAAAACATTTTGCAACAAAAAGACTTAACCTGTTGTTTCCAAAATAAGTTAACACAACAGATTTTATCCTGTTTTTCCCAAGTCTGCTAAATCGAAGATTTACTGTACCACCTAGAAATTATATAAAAAAGCGGTGGCTGGGTTTTATAAATTAAACTGGCAACAAGGGGAGAGGCAGCATTCTCTATAGTAATAAATGAATAACAGTTGAGAGTTTAGTAAACTCTAAGCATATACAGTGGATCCCCGGTTTACGATCAGCTCCCAATGCGACCAATTATGTAAGTGTATTTATGTAAGTGCATTTGTACGTGTATGTTTGGGGGTCTGAAATGAACTAATCTAATTCGCAATATTCCTTATGGGAACAAATTCGTTCAGTAATGGCACCTGAACATACTTTGGAATGAAATAATATCGTAAACCGGGGGTCCACTGTATTATACTTGAAAGTTTCCCCTTTTTTCCCCCCCTCTAACACACTAACATTAACTTTACCTCCCTCACTACCATGTATTGTATATGAAACACATGCTATATTCTTCCCTGTCAAAAGCCACTTCTGAATCTATTGAGTCAATTAACAGTTCTTTTCCATTACCTAAACATTTTTACTTTCTTTTGTCTTCCTTATTATTTTTGTACAAAGAAACTACATATGTTCTCTGAAATTCCTTGGTCTTATATACATAATGAAAGCAGTACTTATTCAAACATCAGCTCACCATTTTACACATTGGATGAATGAACCAATATTCATCATTTAATCATTTCATACACATAGTGAATGATTCGACATTACATTATATCACTATTTCATACACAATGAAAGAATGAACCAACATTCATCCCTGAATCACTATTGGTTATTTCATAAACATGTTAAATAAATGAATGCACTAATCATTCTAATATTTAATCCATTTCACACTCACACTGAACAAATGTACAGTGGACCCCCGCATAACGATCACCTCCGAATGCGACCAATTATGTAAGTGTATTTATGTAAGTGCGTTTGTACGTGTATGTTTGGGGGTCTGAAATGGACTAATCTACTTCACAATATTCCTTATGGGAACAAATTCGGTCAGTACTGGCACCTGAACATACTTCTGGAGTGAAAAAATATCGTTAACCGGGGTCCACTGTACTAACATTCCAACACTACTCCTGCCCATTTTCAGCATCTGTCTCAATTCTCATCCACCCTTGCAACTTTTCCCACTTTCAACTTTCTTTTCTAATTCATTGATTTCTTTCCAAACTGACATTTCTGCACCTAGGAAAAAAAAAGATACAAGTAGATTGGAATGACTTATGAAATGTTCTGAAAGTTGCTGGTGTAAGAGCAGTGCTGGTAGTTGCAATAAAATGAACAGTAATTGTGTACTGGAAATACATTATTAATACATTCATAAGGAGACAAGCATAGAACTCATACAGCACCTAAAAAATGGGAGGTAATGGCAACTAGGTTTGATCTGAGGAAGGGGAAGGTAGTTACAAATTCCTAGAAGAACCTTTTCACCAGCATCTCAGCATCCAACTAGAAAGGTATTGGAAATAAAGGGTGTGTAAGTATGAAGAAAAGATTAAGCGAATGTATTGTAAGATGGGTTAAACTAAGACAAGATTCAACACCTTGTTAAGGTTAGGAAAGGAGAAGCATTGCTAGTGATGTGAAGGAGAACTACAAGACAGCATCCAGCACCATTTCCAATGGTGTGTACCATTTCCAACCCTCAACATTGAAACTAAAAATTGGCTTTAATAATAACAGCCAAATCTAAAATTTAAGCTATTGAAATTAGCCAGAACTTCACTGTAAACTATTTCGTGTTTCTTTGCATTTTTTTTTTTGTATTATTTGTATAAGTAAGTCACCATGGGCCCTACAACAATTAGTGATAACAGCCAACCAAACAGAAAATTGGTTGGGAAGAACTCATTCAAGACTGAAACGGAGTAGCACTTGAACAGCCTTCTGGAAAGGTCATATACCGAGGTTTCACTGTAATTAAATAATTTACAAATTCTTTTACCAAACAAGATTATACTATTTTACTACTACATACACTTTACTAACACAGTTTCGTAGTTATAAGACGAACTAATTGTCACAGTATTAATACTGCAAAAAACTTCAATTATTACATGTACTGTAGAATAATTAAGTGTTAAATTACACATCTTATCTTATACATTAATTATGACAGTAACATTACCCAAATGGTTAAGGTAGATGCCAGAGGATGGGTTGTCAAGGTGTGGCACTGGGAGTCCTGCCTCTTCACTTGTTTTTGTCAGTTCACGCACAAGATGTACTAACTCAGCCTCACTTGATCTTATGTTTAAACCCTGTGAGGGGGAGAAAAGTAGAAGTTCCTTGAATAAACAGGAAAAGCAATGAATACCAACTACCAAAAAACAAGTCTGGCCAACTGGTTTTCTAACATATGTTAAGTCTCATGGACCACATGTCACCGTTTTTTCCAACCCAACACTCACATATGCCTACTGCATGTGCAAGCCCCTAACTCTAAATACCTCTTTCACATCCTCCTTTCAACCCTTCTGATGCCCCTACACTTCCTTCCTTCATCCATCTCAGGCTTATACAATTTTATCAACCAATCTTGTTCCATTTGACTCACGAAATCGTAATGACACGATTGCAAACAAACCATATTACGGGTGGGGTTCGAATCCGCAGTCAGAGAGTCTCAAAACTCCAGACCGTTGCATTAGCCAGTTGGATGAATCTTACTGAAGCTAGCTGGCCCAGTGGCTAATGCGACGGTCTGGAGTTTTGAGACTCTCTGTCCGCGGGTTCAAACACCACCCATGGTATGGCTTGTTCCATTCTTTGTACATGACTAAACCACAACTCTTGCAAACTCTTGAATTAAACCCATCTTCTAATGTCTTCACTACTTATTCAGGAGTGAAGACATTTACACTATAAACTGATCTTGGGCAATACATTTTCTCCGTCTCCAACCTCCATAGCACCTTGCCATCCGCAAACAGCAACTGTAACAGCTGAAGTTTAAAAATACTCATTATATTTCAAGGTAGTAGGTAGTAGGTTGGTAGACAGCAACCACCCAGGGAAGTACTACCGTCCTGCCAGATGACTGTGAAACAGAAACCTGTAACTGTTTTGCATGATGGTAGGATTGCTGGTTTCTTTTTGTCTCATAAACAAGCTAGATAACAGGGATATCTTGCTACTCCTACTTACACTTTGGTCACACTTCACAGACACGCACATGCATATATATATACAGACATCTAGGTTTTTCTCCTTTTTCTAAATAGCTCTTGCTCTTCTTTATTTCTTCTATTGTCCATGGGGAAGTGGAAAAGAATCTTTCCTCCGTAAGCCATGCGTGTCGTATGAGGCGACTAAAATGCCGGGAGCAATGGGCTAGTAACCCCTTCTCCTGTAGACACTTACTAAAAAAGAGAAGAAGAAAAACTTTATAAAACTGGGATGCTTGAATATGCGTGGATGTAGTGCGGATGACAAGAAACAGATGATTGCTGATGTTATGAATGAAAAGAAGTTGGATGTCCTGGCCCTAAGCGAAACAAAGCTGAAGGGGGTAGGAGAGTTTCGGTGGGGGGAAATAAATGGGATTAAATCTGGAGTATCTGAGAGAGTTAGAGCAAAGGAAGGGGTAGCAGTAATGTTGAAGGATCAGTTATGGAAGGAGAAAAGAGAATATGAATGTGTAAATTCAAGAATTATGTGGATTAAAGTAAAGGTTGGATGCGAAAAGTGCGTCATAATAAGCGTGTATGCACCTGGAGAAGAGAGGAATGTAGAGAAGAGAGAGAGATTTTGGGAGATGTTAAGTGAATGTAAAGGAGCCTTTGAACCAAGTGAGAGAGTAATTGTGGTAGGGGACCTGAATGCTAAAGTAAGAGAAACTTTTAGAGAGGGTGTGGTAGGTAAGTTTGGGGTGCCAGGTGTAAATGATAATGGGAGCCCTTTGATTGAACTTTGTATAGAAAGGGTTTAGTTATAGGTAATACATATTTTAAGAAAAAGAGGATAAATAAGTATACAAGATATGATGTAGGGCAAAATGACAGTAGTTTGTTGGATTATGTATTGGTAGATAAAAGACTGTTGAGTAGACTTCAGGATGTACATGTTTATAGAGGGCCACAGATATATCAGATCACTTTCTAGTTGTAGCTACACTGAGAGTAAAAGGTAGATGGGATACAAGGAGAATAGAAGCATCAGGGAAGAGAGAGGTGAAGGTTTATAAACTAAAAGAGGAGGCAGTTAGGGTAAGATATAAACAGCTATTGGAGGATAGATGGGCTAATGAGAGCATAGGCAATGGGGTCAAAGAGGTATGGGGTAGGTTTAAAAATGTAGTGTTAGAGTGTTCAGCAGAAGTTTGTGGTTACAGGAAAGTGGGTGCAGGAGGGAAGAGGAGCGATTGGTGGAATGATGATGTAAAGAGAGTAGTAAGGGAGAAAAAATTAGCATATGAGAAGTTTTTACAAAGTAGAAGTGATGCAAGGAGGGAAGAGTATATGGAGAAAAAGAGAGAGGTTAAGAGAGTGGTGAAGCAATGTAAAAAGAGAGCAAATGAGAGAGTGGGTGAGATGTTATCAACAAATTTTGTTGAAAATAAGAAAAAGTTTTGGAGCGAGATTAACAAGTTAAGGAAGCCTAGAGAACAAATGGATTTGTCAGTTAAAAATAGGAGAGAAGAGTTGTTAAATGGAAAGTTAGAGGTATTGGGAAGATGGAGGGAATATTTTGAGGAATTGTTAAATGTTGATGAAGATAGGGAAGCTGTGATTTCGTGCAAGGAGGAATAACATCTTGTAGGAGTGAGGAAGAGCCAGTTGTGAGTGTGGGGGAAGTTCGTGAGGCAGTAGGTAAAATGAAAGGGGGTAAGGCAGCCGGGATTGATGGGATAAAGATAGAAATGTTAAAAGCAGGTGGGGATATAGTTTTGGAGTGGTTGGTGCAATTATTTAATAAATGTATGGAAGAGGGTAAGGTACCTAGGGATTGGCAGAGAGCATGCATAGTTCCTTTGTATAAAGGTAAAGGGGACAAAAGAGAGTGCAAAAATTATAGGGGGATAAGTCTGTTGAGTATACCTGGTAAAGTGTATGGTAGAGTTATTATTGAAAGAATTAAGAGTAAGACGGAGAATAGGATAGCAGATGAACAGGGAGGCTTTAGGAAAGGTAGGGGTGTGTGGACCAGGTGTTTACAGTGAAACATATAAGTGAACAGTATTTAGATAAGGCTAAAGAGGTCTTTGTGGCATTTATGGATTTGGAAAAGGCGTATGACAGGGTGGATAGGGGGGCAATGTGGCAGATGTTGCAGGTGTATGGTGTAGGAGGTAGGTTACTGAAAGCAGTGAAGAGTTTTTACGAGGATAGTGAGGCTCAAGTTAGAGTATGTAGGAAAGAGGGAAATTATTTCCCAGTAAAAGTAGGCCTTAGACAAGGATGTGTGATGTCACCGTGGTTATTTAATATATTTATAGATGGGGTTGTGAAAGAAGTAAATGCGAGGGTCTTGGCAAGAGGCGTGGAGTTAAAAGATAAAGAATCACACATAAAGGGGGAGTTGTCACAGTTGCTCTTTGCTGATGACACTGTGCTCTTGGGAGATTCTGAAGAGAAATTGCAGAGATTGGTGGATGAATTTGGTAGGGTGTGCAAAAGAAGAAAATTAAAAGTGAATACAGGAAAGAGTAAGGTTATGAGGATAACAAAAAGATTAGGTGATGAAAGACTGGATATCAGATTGGAGGGAGAGAGTATGGAGGAGGTGAATGTATTCAGATATTTGGGAGTGGACGTGTCAGCGGATGGGTCTATGAAAGATGAGGTGAATCATAGAATTGATGAGGAGAAAAGGGTGAGTGGTGCACTTAGGAGTCTGTGGAGACATAGAACTTTGTCCTTGGAGGCAAAGAGGGGAATGTATGAGAGTATAGTTTTACCAACGCTCTTATATGGGTGTGAAGCATGGGTGATGAATGTTGCAGCGAGGAGAAGGCTGGAGGCAGTGGAGATGTCATGTCTGAGGGCAATGTGTGGTGTGAATATAATGCAGAGAATTCGTAGTTTGGAAGTTAGGAGGAGGTGCGGGATTACCAAAACTGTTGTCCAGAGGGCTGAGGAAGGGTTGTTGAGGTGGTTCGGACATGTAGAGAGAATGGAGCGAAACAGAGTGACTTCAAGAGTGTATCAGTCTGTAGTGGAAGGAAGGCGGGTAGGAAAGGTTGGAGGGAGGGGGTAAAGGAGGTTTTGTGTGCGAGGGGCTTGGACTTCCAGCAGGCATGCGTGAGCGTGTTTGATAGGAGTGAATGGAGACAAATGGTTTTTAATACTTGACGTGCTGTTGGAGTGTGAGCAAAGTAACATTTATGAAGGGGTTCAGGGAAACCGGCAGGGCGGACTTGAGTCCTGGAGATGGGAAGTACAGTGCCTGCACTCTGAAGGAGGGGTGTTAAAGTTGCAGTTTAAAAACTGCAGTGTAAAGCACCCTTCTGGCAAGACAGTGATGGAGTTAATGATGGTGAAAGTTTTTCTTTTTTGGGCCACCCTGCCTTGGTGGGAATCAGCCAGTGTGATAATAAAAATAATATAAAATAATTTCAAGGCCACATTTCTCCCAAAAATACAAATCTTCACTTCTATTACCATTACAATTCTATTAACAAACAATCTTGGTGACATTACATATCTTTGTTTGAGTCCCACCCTTATTGGAAATCATTTCCTTTTATTACCTACACACTTTAACCAGTAAATTCAAGGTAATATCATATTAATTCAAGTTTATATATCAATCAATTAACAAGATAAAATAAATTAAAACCAATTATTGTATGTATAAGAAAATTTGTGAAATGAGGTCAGTACTCTAGGATGAAAAGATACACACACTACACATTATCAGTTCATGGAGAGACTGACAGTCATTTGTAGAAGAGATAACCTACCAGCCTATAAGCAATACTTTATAAGAATAATAGAGCATGGGGTGTATGCCAAAACAATATGGTATATTTAATGAAGACAGTGGAACATGTTATAAAGTACAACAAGAAAGTATGTGGTATCCACCAAGACAGTGTGGGATATACTGACCTGAATGTAAGAATGGAGTCGATATAGGTGAGTGTGGTTTTTAATGGGGTGGAGGGTGATCGCTCGGTGCACCTCCCGTTGTTTGAGTGGACCTGTAAAAGCTTCTGTGCCACTGCTGTTGTGATACAAAATACTTTGCATCTGTAAACAAAAAAATGAAAAATACAGTGGCTGCCATGAAGATACGTATTTACAAATGGAATAAAATACATAAATAATTATATACAGACTGCAGGCCTGGTCCAGCAACTGGCTCCTGGAGTTCAACCCCCCCCCCCAAGTGCAAAGTCATGAATCGCAAAATCATAATGACACGATTGCAAACAAACTATACCACGGGTGGGGATAGAACCCGCGATCAGAGAGTCTCAAAACTCCAAACCGTCGTGTTAGCCACTGGGCCAGCTAGCAAAGAAGACCACAAACGGAGTACAATCTAGGGGGTTAAAGACTACAAACCTCACTCAATGAAAAGGATCTCGGAGTGTTTATAATACCGAGCACATCTGAGTCGCACATCAACGAAATAACTGCTGCAGCATATGGGCGACTGGCGAACCTAAGAATAGCATTCCAGTATCTCAGTAAGGAGTCGTTCCGGACACTGTACAGCGTGTACGTCAGGCCTATACTGGAATATGTAGCTACAGTTTGGAACCCACACCTGACCAAGCACGTCAGGAAACTAGAGAAGGTGCAAAGGTTTGCAACGAGACTAGTCCCGGAGCTAAGGGCCATATTCTGCGGAGAGAGGTTAAGGGAACTCGACCTGACGACACTGGAGGACAGGGGGGACATAACATATAAAATACTGAGAGGAATCGACAAGGTGGACAGAGACAGGATGTTCCAGAGATGGGACACAGCAGCAAGGGGACACAATTGGAAGTTGAAGACTCAGATGAGCCACAGGGATGTTAGGAAGTATTTCTTCAGTCACGAAGTTGTCAGGAAGTGGTATAGTCTGGACAGTGAGGTAGTGGAGGCAGGTACCATACATAGCTTTAAGAAGAGGTACGATAAAGCTCATGGAGCAGGGAGAGTAGACCTAGTAGTAACCAGTGAAGAGGCGAGGCCAGGAGCTATGAATCGACCCTTGTAACCACAATTAGGCGAGTACGCACAAAGGAACAAGAAGAAGCAAGAGAAAAACACTTCATACGTAAAACACAAGTGATACCTCAATCAGTGAGGCCTACTGGTCCCCAATTTCAATAATAGTAAGTTTATTCTGGTATACACAAATACAGTTACATAGAATTATCATACATAGCAGCATATGTGTAGAGAACCTAGGATAACCCAAAAAAGTCAGACAGTGACTTATTTCCATTGGGGTCCTTTGACCCCAACAACCAAAATGCTTCCGAGTTCAGAGTAGCAATTTCCAACTAATATTAGGTCAATGATAACTGATAATGAATATCGTGGTTAAAATTGTTAGCTCTACTTTTCAATATACACCTACGTGGCACAACAGGTTCCAACTGGCTTGTGGCAGTGTGTTTCTTACCACACTCACAGTTTCACTGCCCTTCATTATTCCAGCAGTCATAGAAGGTGGTTGTGATGTGCAAGAGGTTCCCACTACGTCAGGAGAGTTGTGATGAATGGTTTGAAAAAACCGACAAGTTGAAGATTGAGACACTTATGCAACATATGGGAATCTTGCATATGTTCCATATGTTGCATAAGTGTCTCAATCTTCAACATCAGGAGAGACTGGCCACCTCGTGAATCACTGGAGCTTGGGATGAAAAATGTTCAACATCCACCTCTCATTGAACCAAACAAAATTTTGCTACCACCACCACTACACAAAACTGAGGCTAATGAAAAAAAAAAACTTTGTAAAAGCTGTGGACAACTCCGGTCAGGGATTCAAGTATTTAACATCAAAATTCCCCTCACTGAGCGACGCTAAGAGAGTCTTCAATATGGTCCTTAGATTCGAGAGCTTCTTAAAGATAGTGACTTTTAATCAGACTTTCATGGGAAGGAGAAAACTGCTTGGGAAGCATTCAAGTTAGTGGCGAAGGGATTTCTCGGAAACAGAAGGGAAGCCACCAGGCCCGGTGGCCTGGTGGCTAAAGCTTCCGCTTCACACACGGAGGGCCCGGGTTCGATTCCCGGCGGGTGGAAACATTTCGACACGTTTCCTTACACCTGTTGTCCTGTTCACCTAGCAGCAAATAGGTACCTGGGTGTTAGTCGACTGGTGTGGGTCGCATCCTGGGGGACAAGATTAAGGACCCCGATGGAAACAAGTTACAGTCCTCGATGACGCACTGACTTTCTTGGGTTATCCTGGGTGGCTAACCCTCCGGGGTTAAAAATCCGAACGAAATCTTATCTTATCAAGGCTTTCAAGAACATGGGATGTAACATGTCACTTAAAATCCACTTTTTTTGGATTCACATTTAGATTTTTCCAGTGAACTGTGGGGCAGTTAGTGACGAACATGGTGAAAGGTTTCACCAAGATATTTCACCCATGGAAAAACGGTACCAGGGTAAATGGGACACAAGAATGCTTGCTGGACATTGGTAAGAGATGATTTTTCAGCCCATTATAAGCGTCAAGGAAAAAGGCAGGGAGTAGGTACGGAATAGAGTTTAAAACATAGTGACATATTGTACATTATAATAAAATAATCAAATATTACATGTCTCGTATCTTTAAACCTATAGCCAATAAGAATTTTTTCAAGGTTATATTTGGATTCAGGACATGAAAATGCATAAGAATTAGCTAATCTCTTTTAAGAAGTATACAACTTTTCAAGAATAGCTGACCAGTGTAACAGGAAAACTTGTGTATAAGTGATGCTAACTTGGGTTAGTCACAATTGATGGTGAAGGAAGCACCAGGCGTGTTGTACACGGAGTCATGGCGGCTAACTCAGCACTCCCTCTACCTTGTTTGCTGCTTCATCACTCTTCAGCCACCATCACCACCACCAACCACTGTTATCAGTACCAAGCACCACCACCATTATCCTCAACCCACTACTACCATTACTCACCTCACCACCTAGCAACTACCACTATCATTACAATTATACATAAAAAGGGGCTCTCAAGCACCCGTCAGTAATTTACGCCATCCAATGACCTTCATAAGAGTATCTTCGTCAAAAACACTAAAAATGAGTTTTTTTTTTTCATTGATGATAAACCAAGACGATACATGTGGCAAATATAATAACGTTTGTAAAGTACTTTCAGGAAATATTTGCCTCGTACAGCGCTCTCGTGAAGTATTAATCTGACTCTTGAAGAATGAAAAAAAAAAAAAAAACACAACTTTCTGACAACTCTAAAGACTGAAGTATGCCTTCATCCTCAGAGTTGTCAGGAAGTGTAACAATCTGCAGAGTGAAGTGAAACATAACTTTAAGAGGCACGATAAGGCTCTTGAAGCCAGGTTAGAGTGGACCTAGCAGCTACCAGCGAAGAGGCGGGGCCAGGAGCTGTGGATCGACCCCTGCAACCACATACAGGTGAGTACATACACACACAATAACTTTCCTGCTACTCACTTTAAAATAACTAATAAGCACAACTTCTATTCTTACACAATTACAATTACATTTTTTCTCTCTGCCAATTATGGCTGTCACGCAATCTTACACGTTGACGCCCAGTGCTGTATACACACTACACATATACACACTACACATATACACACATGTCAGCAATTAAGGTATCCAACTGTTTGTCATATTGTATTTAAATACAACTGTGGTAGACTGTCATGTGCACGCGCGTCAGCTCTTCATCTTAGTGTAGCGACGCACAAGTCTCTAGACACGCTACTTTCACGTAATAAACTCAGCTATTTCCGACATTATATCATTAAGAGCCCACCTACTAACTAGTTGTGGTAGCAACACATATGTATACATTACGTGTATATACACTACGTATATACAAACCACGTGTATACACAATAATCGTCTTCGGATTTTGAGAGATGGATTTTATTCCTTAGAAAAATACGAAGTTAAACGCAAAGCCCGTTGGAGTTGTATAGCATTTGGGGGAATGGGAGGTAATTGGGTCTAATTTGTCGAAGGGGGAAAAGTAGCTTAAATTCTTTGGATCAAGAGCCCTTCACCGACATCAAGGTTTCTCTCCCGTCCCCCTTGAAAAGCCTTTGGTCATATGACAAAGGCCTTCCACTGATGCATCCTATGAGGAATTAACTTTTATCACCTGTTAAGTATACTAATTATAACTTTGAATCGTACTACCTAGGATCACACGCCCACCACTTAGGATCCCAGAACAACTCATCATCCCACACCATAAAACTAAAACCAGTGTATACAAAAACAAACTGACTTGACTCATCCCACGCTCTCCCATCCACAAGTGTCTGGGAGTCCCACCAAGCGAGGCAGGCACTAATGGACTTCATCTTGCCTCCACGAACTGATACACAAGAAATCCTATGACAAAATCCTCTACTGTTTTTTTTTCCACTTACTCCCCAAAAAGGACACCTCTCACGTACTAGTACGCCTAGCCTTAATAGATTTTATTCAGATTATAACCAACGAGGGTTAGTATACCAATAAAGTCGAGCACCATGGCTTATTTCCACTTAAACCCCTTTCACACATGCTACGCTATTAGCCTACTAAAACTGTGCCCAGTGTTGTTTGACGGTATCTTCATTGTCTTATTGAACTCATCAGCTCAGGAGACTAATACATTTCATACCTTATATATGAAACAAATCTTGTGCGATGGTGGATCATTCCAACTATGCAATATAATTATAAACATACTATGAATGTGACTACCATACATATTTTTTTCAAATATAAAAGTGTAACCACATAGAGCGGGCGCTCCTTCAATGTAAATATATAAATAGGTTAGCTACATATAGGTGTATTAAATTATTATAAAAACAAGGACATGTTGGTAAGGAGTGAAAGGAGCAATGTAGGTCAGCATCTGCTTTCTTAATCCCTGACAGTGAGGCTGACAGTGTGGCTAGACAGCTCTAGTCTCACCCCCAACAAACTGTCCTAAGGAATACCTGTGCTTTTAAATGACTGCGAACACATAAAAAATAACGTCAGTATTTCTGAACATTGTTCGTTTTCCGACAGTCATAAGTAAAACAT